CAATATATGTCATTTTGGTCAAACACATGTTACGTTAGCAAAATCTTCCCAACATAATTCTCGGATGGCTCCACTACTTTTGACGTTAGCTTCGACTTTGCATTATTTTATACGTATCCTTAACTTTCCAGTTGCATATATTAATGTCTGCAATCTAAAATCTTATTGGTTCGTTTACGTTTTTATGTACCTAATGCCTAATCATGAACATTTTTTGTTTACAATGTCAACATTTATTCAACAAATATTCATTTACAGATAGTTTGCAACTTTTCGAAAAGAAACAAAATCAAAATTTCCTGAAGGATTAATCAAGGAAAAAGGTATATATGTAATTTAAATTCGTGTGGAGAATCAGAAGATCACCCATGGATCGAGTAACGAGTAATCTGTCTTTAATCGGCTTGTCAATTGATCGAGATGAGATAGGATGGAGCTTCGATAGTATGAAGTATTATCGACTGATCATATAATTGTTAGAATATTGATTTTAGTTAATGATGAGAAAATCACGATTTATAAGTGAATATGTATAGTGAAACTCTGAGCTAATACAATTGTTTGAGTAATTATATCACATATATTGAATTGTACTTTTTTGCCAAAGTTTCATTATAAATTGTGTTCAACCCATAGAAAACCTGGGTTACTTCAAGCGAAACTCGTAGCAATATGCATGGTTAATCCATATGTCTTGAAAGTTTCTCAAAACAGCAAATCAGCTGTGTAACAACAATGGAACACACCAATAATTAGCAAAGAAATAAGATTATATATGGTCAGAAACATTAATTAGACATTACATCACAAGTTGAAAATCGAAGAAGAGCGACATGACAGCTGTGGTGGTGTGGCTAATAGTTTGCAGTTACCAACTTGGAGACATTGAGCTTCAAATTTGAAGGCACCAAAAAGAAAAGTAGGTAATAGAGAAAAGTTCGAGCCAAAAGCAAGAAATGAAATAAATACTTAATGAAGATAACTCTGATATCGGAAGACAGAGTGTTTTTTGTATATCAATGGCCTTTGTCTGTTCCCACTACCTTTTTTATCATCTTTTGTTCTTGCAAACTACTATTTTTCTGAAAGTGATGAATATTTAAAAGCCTTACTTTTCTTAAAAAGAAGGGCATAAAAAGAAACCTTCTCAAACTTTTTGCCATGCAATTTTACTTACTCCTTGACGCTGCAAGAAAAAGAAAAAGACACATGAAAATGACTTCCATATTCTCACATTCATTATAAAAGATCTAATGTAATACGTCAAAGTTTGGATTCCATCGATCTTCGTCTACAATGTTAATTACTAACCAATCGGTGTGGATTGCGGTTTTTAGGTTTGGGGTTTTGATATTTAGGCCTCCGTACCGTGTTAATATGGAGAGGCAATAATAAAGAAGAAGAGAATCAAAAGGTGTTCATTGATTGAGGTGGAGGATAGGATTCCCTTTATAGTGTCTCTTTATGTCTCGCACTATTTCTGGCCTAAGTCAACCGCAAAAGCTGAACTCTCTTTATTAGTATCTTTTTATAATTAGTGTTTTTCGCCTTCAATATTTAAGTACCAAGTATAATTCTTTTTGGCAACCTCCTTGCGTTACATGTTCAATTCAAAATATTGGGGTGTTTTAGCTGATTGATATTAAAATACGCTATTGCTCTAGAGTTTGTTTGATTTGTGCATATGCAATGTGAGCACCATTGGCTTGACTCTGTTCATTCATGTTTTCCATCCATTCGATGATTACTTCAGAAGGGATTGTAATCATTTTCATAATCCTTACAATCTTTTTCATGTAAGATTCTCTAAAGTCACATGAATCAGTAAACCAAAAAAAGTCTCAGCTTAGGGTTGGCATCGAACACGATAAGGATGCTCGATGAGGTTTGTAATCCAATTAACGGGGCTTTGTATAACTGTTTCCTGCAAAATTAACCTCTCTTTACTTTACAACAAAGTATACTCTCCCGCTATCACTGTGCTTGATCCCACAAGCCCCAGACCTCATTGAAGATCTAGCTTCTCTTCCCAGATACAGCTGCATTTCAACCAGTGGTGACCAGAGAAAATAAGTTTCTGCATCCAGTTTCACTTCACGATTAAGGTTTACTAATTCTTCAATGCTTTCTTACCTTTTGTTTGCGTTAAAGATGTCACTATTCTCTGCCAAATGCTGTTCCCTGAAGAGGCCCGTCCACCTGCAATTCTCTCGGCCGCAGGACTCATGTCATGTACATATTTCACCGATTCAGATAATCGGTTGAGAAGATTCATCAGCGCAATCACTTCATTCCTTTGCAATTCAAGCTGCAAAGAAAAACAACAGAGATATGTTTGTTGCGTCACTAAAATGTCAGTCCCCAAGAATCAAAGAAAATATATAACGCATCAGATTTCAAAAACTGGACGATGTGTCTCCAGGTGTGTTAGAAACGCACACTATGAAGGAGATTGTCTTCACCATTGACAGTGAACAAGATCTTTAGTGCAGTGCCGAGGCCAAGAATCTGGAGCTTTCCCCATAGACGACATTTCTCACAGCCTACACAGTCCATTATTGCACTGCAATAATCAAGAAAATAAAAAGAATTTAACTTAACTAGTCAGTAGAACTTTCATTATTCCTCAAGAAAAGAATAGAAAAAAAGCAAGGGTTTCACACTGGCAAAAGAAGCTAGTTAAGGACTCAAGAAGGACCTTATGTTTCTGAATTGTTTTTGTATTTGTTGCTTCAGTTCAGGTCCACGTTGGCCTTTCCAAAGCTTAGCTTCATCAAATGGTACTGGACAAGCTGCTTTAGTTTTGGGGTCACTAACTACTTGCTTCACCAGAGATTTAGTCTTCAAGTCCTCAATGACATTACCAGTCTCATATTCAGCCTCTCCCAAGTAAGCTTCTGCCTACAAATCATGAAAAAGAGGAAAGAAACTAACTGTGATTATTCTACACCATTGGGACCCTTTTCCTTGGATTCAGACAAAGATAAGTGATTAGTAATTGACCTTTGTTACTGCTCGAAGAACAAATAAAAATGTGAAGTATAGGTTCTGAACGCGATCTGGGTATCTTAACACACGATCATACAACAAAGTCAGGTTTTGACCCCACTGAAAAACACAAGAAAAAGGATAGCATTGGATCATTCTAATTCTGCTCAAGAAACATATATAGCGGATATGTCAGATTTGGAAGGCAGATCTTACCAAGTTTGTAGCTTCATCAAGTAAATAATCTGAAGCTATATGAACTGAAATAGATGAGTGAAGACCAGAGACCAATTTGTACAATATCTTTTCTTCTCGGCACGACTCTTCAGATGTATCTACTCATCTCATAGAAGCCAGTATAATTACACGGGTTAGATATTCATATGAATAGATCAGCAAGAAACAAGAAACACTTTGGTGTGCATAAAGCAACAAATCGATATTCATATAATAGGGGCATAAAGCAACAAATCGAGAAAACAAGAAACACTTTGGTGTGCAGCTTACGTTTGGGACAGTTCTCAGAGTATATAGCTTCCCATATCCTTCTAGCTGATGGGCCAATATAGCCAGTGTACCGTTCGGGATTTAGCAGAAGATTAACATATGTCATGTCATCTGCGATCATGTATTCAGTCATCAAAAACTGCATCTAACATTCTAACACAATGCGATTCCATACCAAAAACACTACTTGTTACATATCGTCTCATGAGCCATTAATATATGAACTGAGGGACAGAGTGTTGACATATAAGTACCAAATGCATAGAACATAAAAAGAACAAAAAAAACAAAAAAAAAATGAGTCAGGTTGTGAAGGAAAGTTACCGTTGTCCGTTTCATCATCACTTGTCCAGGGATTGTCTGTGACTGTCCAACCCCTGAAAGCTCTAGTATCCAAGGTACGATCAACAGTAGCTTGTGGTTTCCCTTCTTGACAAACAGGATTGTATTGGCTTAATGGCTTCTTAAATATTTCTGGGAACTCGCTTTCAGGACATTCACAAACACTACAGTCTCTTAACCGGCACATGCCATCATCAGGCCAAAACGGGCAATCACACCACAGTTTAACCTATTAAACGGATTCAAACCCATCACAAAACACCTCCAAATCCTCTAGATACTTGTTTCAAGTGAAAAAAAAAAAAAAAAAACTCAACTTTCATGATCAAAGAAAGAGGAACCAACCTTGAAATATCTGTAAAACGGTGTCTTAACAAGGTCCTGAAGCAATGGATTCAACACTTCCGTGTTTAGTCGATTCACAGTTTCATAATCACAACAACAATCTTCAACTATCCCAATGTACTTGTGCTGCTCAGCCTAAAAACAAGATCAAAATGATTGAGAAGTCTAGAATACAAATCAAATCAAAATCAAAGTAATCGCTGAGATTCAAAGCTAATCTCTTACACAGAAACACTAATCTAACTTATTTTCAATTCAGAAACTTACAAGAGCTTTTAGAAATACCTAACCTGACGGCAATTGCATATTTTTCCGGTAAATTCAGAAATCGACGAATTCTGAGTATTCAAAAACACAGCGACCACGACGGCTAAAAGAACGGCAGCTATAGCTCCGATCAGCAAAATCCAGCGCTTTCCCGATCCTTTCTCCTTTCCGTTCACGCTTCCGACGTCCGTCTCCGCCATTCACCTATCACAAAATGGAACTAAATCTCTGATACGATAAGAAGAGAAGTGTCTCTCTTAGCTTTGCTCTGAGAAAAATCTGACACAGACGACGAGAAATCTCCGGCACTGAATTTTGAATTTTCAGAGAAATTGTGGGCAATTTTGACAAAACCGCAGCTCTCGAAAAAATGAGTCAAAACGATCTCGATCACATAAAGTCATTAAATCCTACGGCTCTGTATTTTTGGTCTAATATAAATAAAAATTAAGTGTAAACACATACTTATCAGGTAGCTTCATATATTGATTTAAGAAGAAGATAAAAGTGTTTTTATTGTCTTGGCAAAAAAAAAAAAAAAAAAAAAAAAAATTGTCTTGCAAATTATGACTTTAAACAGTCTAAACTACATTAAGAAAAGAAAAAACGTTCCTTCATGATTGATCACTGCTTCTGTTTCTTTGGCGTGTTGGCCTCAGAGGAATCGTTATCGCATGGCCTGTTTGATTTCTTAGAACAAGATTTCAAAGTCTCCTTTGCATCAGTGTTTCCATCTTTAACATTCAGTATCTCGGCCATAGATCTCGCCTTCACTCTCATCTGCTCCTTAGTTCCAGCTGCGACATCTTTCCTCGTGATGTTACATGGTGTAACCTCATCTGTTTCCTTGCCTTTGTCTTCTTCGGGTTGTGAACTTGTGGTGGCTGGAGAAGCACAGTATTTTTGTTCTATGCCTGCCCATCTGAACATAGAGCTGAGCTTTTTACCTTCCAACGCTTCTACGAGAAGATTCAACTCTTCGATAGTGTACCTATAGAGAAAACTCTTTCTGTCACTCGGACAGGCACAGAGCTTCCTCATGTGGCTCAGACACGAGTAACGATCAGCTGAGCATGAACATTTAACAGCGGAAAGATACAAATCCCCAAGACATACACAGCATTCTCTTTTGCTCACAGCATCATAACTCTTGTCCATCCTTTGCGATTCTAGTGTATTGCTAAGAAATTCACGTCTGTTTTTCTCCTGCTTGATCCGCGACTACATAAAAGAGAGAAATAAAATAAGCAAAAGGTAGTGAGGAAGTTCTTCATGCTACACAGTAAGACAGGCAAAGGCGAGCAGTGAGCATTACCTTGACTATGTTGGAGAATAACCCATCTGTCCCACAAGAATCATTCCATCTCGTGTAACATGCTGTGTTTTTCTTGGACAAAGCATATTCCTTAAGACATTTCACAGCTTCCCTTGCAGCACTTAATAATAGCTTATCATACGATATTAGCGATTTTTTACTCTTCTCTTGATTCAGCTGAACAGCAATATCCCCATGCGGCAACCAATCTAGGGGAGCAAAATTTGCTTTCTCCAAACAGTTGAAGCCACAGTCAAAGGCAGAGTAATACGACCCTGGAAATATAATAACATACTGGCCAGGGTTCTGGACACAGCGGGTCACTGGTATACCCTCCATGCTCAATTGATATGGAGACATTATCATCACCTGCCAAATGAATTGCTTCCCTTGTAAATGAACCACCGCTAGTATTTAATAGCTCACTATAGTTCATCGAAGTTATGATAGACTTTGCTTTGAACAGATAAATCCAAATACTGTGTGATCTCTCTATGGCATTTTCGCATGTCATGATCGTTTATGCTGAACAAGAACTAAATCACAAGTGGAATCGTTATTGTTCACTCTTCTGTCTATTTTCTTTCGGAGTTTTGAAAAGAGTAACTTGCATTGCCATTGATGCTTAATGTGTTCAAATACTTACAGGATCATAACTCTTCTTCTTTGGCTGTTCTCCTGACATCTCAGGGATTAAGCTCTTCATGGCAGCCGTAAACTTTGAACGATGACATCCCGCTACAGAATACCACACTCTAGGAGCGCCGCCCACATGCAAATAGCAGAGAGTGTAGAGTCTCTCCTTCTCAGATTTCTGTTCATTAACAGATATTCCAAGAGACAAATATGAGACAACACAAGCAAATTAGATTAAAAACATAAATGCTGAAATTTTATTCCAGTGGTAGCTTGCAAAAAAAAGAAGCTATTTCTGCGTTGACCAGTTGTACTAATGCTTTTAGAAAACGACGACCATAGCTTGACATCAACTTTAAAACTTACCCAGAACTGGGAAGACAAGCACATTCCTACACTTAGGCGAGGAACACAAATAGATTCACAGTCTTCTAATGATAGAAGAGAACCAGGAAGCTTAGCCGTACTGTTCAGATTCCAACCTGATGGGTACTTGCAAGACTCAGATGGTGCAGATAAGGGAAATCCACTTCCAAACGTTGTGGTGTCTAGATCATTGCCATAAAGCACCTAATTATACACGACAATTTAGTGACATAGCCCATTTCATATATGAAAGCAGTAGATTTTAACATTACCCCAATTTCAACAAGTGGACTCTCAACAAGTTGTCTATACTCTTTTTCAATTTCTGCCACAGTAAGCTCCTCTGGTTTAAGTGATGTAGATGAGTTCTCTGAACCCAGAACCTCATCCTTCATGCTAAAATGTCTCTTCTTGTATGAATCTGCAAAGACTTTAAAGGTCTCCAAAGTATACCCAGGACCACGTTCTATTCTACAAAACTGAACTTCCTCAGGTGCAGCATCATCACTATCCGCATCAGCCTCCTTTTTAATATTTGGGTTCTCGGTATGACTTCCAAAGAGCTGAACTTGAGGGAAAAATGTAGAAGCCTCCCATATTTTTTTCTCCTTGAGAAGACATGGAGGTTTCCATGAAGGTGGAGGAACAACACAACAGATTCCATACGGCTCAGCTCTGTCACGCAAGCTTGATATATATGAAAGTGTGTCACTGAATTCCTGATGATTCAGTAACTCTGGGTTAGAGGATAAGGAATATATTCCTCTGTAAGAGTAAATGTTTGTTTACCAAAGATGATTTAGAGCAGTTTAATACTCTAATTTTTCTTTCATAAAGGGAAAGCAAAACTGACCTCTTCGGTTGGGTTGAACACAGGAGCTTCCTCAAGGACTTCGGTCTCAGACACTTTGAGGGGCCGCCTTCTCCGTACCTGTGAAAAGCATTTTTTTCATACTTAAGTAAAGAATGTGAAAGACTGAAGACACAATCTTGATACCTATACTCTCATACGTCTAAGAGCATAGTAGACCTACCTGAATCAGCACATCAAGCTCTAAAGTATTCATGCTATTTCACTTAGAACACTAAAACCATATGGGGCAAGTAGGGATATAGAATCCACAAAATGAAAATTTCCGGCTTAACTAACAGCTTATACATCAATCAAGTATAATGTCTATTAGTAGTAATAACTATGCACACATTCCAGAAATATCGCCTCTCTGAACTCAAAGAATGTTTATAATAGACAGAAGAACTAAAAAATAATAAGAAAACATAACTATTTAGATAAAACAAAAGGAAAAGCATTCCTCCACAACAAATTAGCTCTTTCTCTAACAATGATACTTAAAAGACTTTCCAACAAGGTGTAGAACACTTGTCCTCACGGCTAAGCTAAAAATTCTCAAATAACTATATTCCCTTTACTGCTCTTCACAACAGCAAACTAAGCAAAACTCCTCTATATGGAAGAAAGAGAGGAAAGAGGTAGACATAGTTATGAGACCTCAGTTTTTCTCGGCCTTAAGGCCTCTGAGCTGGGAATTGTGTGACCATGCACTATCCACGGTCGGTTTGTAAGAAACATATTGCAACTATCTTCACCATCTGTGCCGAATCCAGTTGTCTGCTCTTGTGTCGACACCGACCTGGAACTTTCTTTGTCTCGACGTACATTCCTCAGTACAAATGATGTTTGAGATACAAAACCTGGCGGAGTTGAAATTATGTCCATATTTCCAGATTTTGAATACGTAGGCACACCTTCAATGCCCATTAAACCTTACAGCCACCAAAAGGATTAATTTCCCGAAGAGGAAATAAATTGAGCTTCAGATGAGATCAATATAGATGCAACTTCCTGCAGAAGATGGAAAAAAATCTAATGTCAGGTATAAACCAAGTGATTAAACATAGTAACTACGATACGTTATTCGACTAAAAAAAAGATAGGTGTCAAGAAAAAGACTGCTACTTAGAAAATTCAATCATCATCGCAAAGACCATAGAACAAGGATTTGTAAAAAATTGCTCTTCTTGATTAGTCCAGGAACTTAACTCATACAAAACTAAACCAAATATCGTTAGACAGCATCTAAACTTTCAAGAACTGACATCAACTGTAAATTATGGTACAAGAGCCCTCCCAAGCTCTGAAAATTGGATCCATGAATATCTCCCTATCAGTAGTTATAACACGGAATCCAGATCAATTACGAAGGATAGCCTTCTTCTTTATATGTCATTCTAAACCTTATTGGATACCCTAACTCGTTCTTGTTTCCTCAAAATTAAACCTTTATTCCAAAATCAGTAACAGGATGTGATCCAAGACATGAAAACGATATGCAGCTCTATGCTAAGATTGATTCTGAGCTTGAAATAAAAACCCTTTTCATAAGAGTATCGGAACTTAGGATACAAAATCTAAAAACTGGAAGGCGAAAAAAAGCTAAGATTGATATTGATTCGCGATCGAAAGGTCCAACTTTTTTTCCAGGCGAGAAGCGAGTAGAACACATACCCGGACGAAGTGAGATCCGATGACTTATGAGAACATTACACATTCATCAACCTCAAGAGCAGAGCCTCTGGATTTTGTTATGGTGACAAATAAATTTTCCCGTCTAAAAACCTAATTCCGGCTTTTGCTTACAGATAAGTGATAATAGTAAATACAAAATATGTTTGGCCCAAAAAAAAAAAAAAAAATACAAATATGTATATTTTATCCACCAATAGTCACACACAATAAATTAAATGCCATTGCGAATATAGCAGTTTATATTTTTATTCAAGATGTAATCCTTTACATTGTGTTCAAAAAAAAAGAGTAATGCTTTACAAAAACAAAAGATAAGAAATTGATCTAAATTCCACTTCATTTGAGGAATTACACTATAATTTGGGTGTTTTTTTTTTCCGTGCCTAACATAAATCCCATCTTCTCTATCATCCCAAATCTTTTTGCTAGGCTCAAGCATAGAATCTTTTGTAGAAAGTATAAATAACAATTAATGGACTATTTGTCTACGGAAAAATTCCTAAAAAAAACTCCAACTATTTAATATTTGCCAGAAAAAAACCTGAACTTTTTTCGATGCCGGAAAAAAACCCCAACTAATTTATCCCTGATAAAAAAAACACGAACTATTTTTTTCTTCCAATTTCCTCTCGTCTCCGTTACGGCCGTTAACGCCGTCGTTGACGCCGTTACTATTTTTAGAAAAATTCCTTAAAAAAACCTAAGTTATTTAATTTTGCCAGCAAAATACCTGAATTATTTTTTTGTTGCCAGAAAAATACACAGATCAAGATTTTTCTCTTTTTCTTTTATTTCATTAACAATGTAAGGTGGTTAGACCTCATAACTTTATGTGTTCTCTTGAACCTCATACAAATTCTCACTACAATTATATTAATCGATTTTTCAATTTTCCAATTAGAACAAATCTCTCAATTACATTAGTTGATTCCCTAATTTTTTAACTAGAACAAAAAAAAACACAATTAGATTAGTCGTTTTTTTTTAGCGTTGAGTTGGTTTGATTAAGCTAGATTTACCTTCAATTTTGGTGGATTTTGCTTGATTGGAGTATTTTTTTTTTGCGATTTATGTAGAGAATTTTTGAAGATCTACCAAGATTTTTGGGGCTCTTATGAAATTTAGTGTTCCATTGTTAATGATGTCCCAAAATTTATAAAGTCTGAATAGATCCAAAAACAAATCTAATTTAAAAATTTGAAAATCGACTAATCTATTTGTATATTTTTGTTCTTAAATTTCATTGTCCTAAGTAATAGTGAAAAATGAAAAATTTTATGAGGTTCAAGATAACACATAAAAGTTATTAGCTCTCACCATCTTACATTGTTGATGGAAGACAAAAAGAAAAGAAAAGAAAAATGTTGATCTATGTATTTTTCTGGCAACGAACAAATAATTCGGGTAGTTTTCTGGCAAACTTAAATAACTTGGGTTTTTTTCAAGAATTTTCCCAAAAAATAGTAACGGCGTCAACAACGGCGTTAACGCCCGTAACGGAGATGAGAGGAAATTGGAAAAACAAAATAGTTCGTGTTTTTTTTGTCTGCGGTAAATTAGTTGGGGTTTTTTTCCGACATCGAAAAAAGTTCAGGTTTTTTTCTGGCAAATATTAAATAGTTGGGGTTTTTTTTAGGAATTTTCCCATTTGTCTACTAAATTTATAAAATCTAATCTAGGAGCCTATTATTGGCCAAATATAAGAAGATTCTCCATAGAGATTAAGCCATAATGCATCTGTGTTCTCAACTTTCCCACAACGCAGAAATTCTCATTTAACATACTGCACAACTTGCACAGGTTCTAGAATTCTAATGAGTCTTCAATTTGGTAACTAACCTATTTAAACGAAGACATTAAAGATCTGATTTTATATTCATTCATGAAAATTTTGATTTCTCTAGCATTTAGTCATCAACGGATTACACAGTGAACAACTTGAGTTGCTAGAGAGGAGTAAAAAGAAGAAGATTATTACAGAAGGTGTATTATCACCTAAACTATTGGGACCGTTCTATTATCACTGATGCTACTCTCGTTGTCTTCATTTTCACCGGACATTTCCTCTAGCGACTTCCCTTTAGATTCAGGGACCAAGAAAGTGAAGAGAATACCTAAGAAGTTAACCACACCCAACACAATAAGCGAGTTCCTGACCCCAATCCCTGGAGGGTATCCTGCGTCCGTCTTGTTCTTGTCTGGACTCTGAGCCAAGTACAAGAATCCGAACGCACCAACCATTGCTCCTAATTTGCCTGATGCTGCAGAGATACCGTGGCAGGTTGATCTGAACCTGGCTGGGAAGATCTCGGCCGGTACAACGAAGGTTGTAGCATTGGGTCCGAAGTTGGCGAAAAAGAATGTTAACGAGTACATGATAACAAATCCGATTCGGTTCTCCTTGTGAGTCCAGTGGTTGTAAGGAATAGCCAGAGCAAACATAAAGACCGTCATGAAAAAGAAGCCCATCATTTGAATCGCGAATCTTCCAATGACGTCAATGAACGCAACTGTGAACCAGTAACCAGGTACCGTGCTACACAAGGCGATGAGTGTCTGTGCTCGTGCGATCTTGAAAACCTCTTGAATTGCGTTCATGCTTTTTGCAGGAGGAATCCACCCGATTGCGCTGAAAATATCTTTCTGGAAAAGGTTTTGACTGTAGAAAGCGATGTCGAGAAGGAACCATGTGGATGTAGTGCCTAGCAAATGAAGCCCATGGCGACTCATGAATTCCTTTGAGAACAAGGAAAAGGCCTTGGACTTCTCCTTTGAGATCTCATCCACTTTTTGTTGTTCTGGCTCTATCTCCATTTGCAAAACCTTAGACATGTCTGAAGCAGCTTGCTTTGCATCTTTAGCAACCAAAGCTGTGTATCTTGCGGTCTCTGGCATCTTTGATCTCGAGTAATATGTCATTGCCGCTGGGATAGCACCAACCATCAGGATTATCCGCCATACCAAATCAGCTTGAGGAACCGTGGATCCCAAGGCATCATCCGCATAGGCCGGGGCTGGGAACTTAGCTTCAAAAGCAGAGGAAATTATAATAGCGAAAATACCACCAGCCATGATTCCAAACCCTTGCATCGCGAAAACCGCAGAGACAAAGGCGCCGCGAGTTTTCTTGTTGGCATATTCAGACATAATCGTTGCAGATAAAGGGTAGTCCCCGCCGATGCCAAATCCAAGCCAAAACCGAAAAAAACAGAGCGTGGCCATTACAGCTTTTGGCTCGTGTCCGAAAGAGAGACCAGAGGCTACTGAACAAAGGACCATGACCATCAACGTCATACCATAAACCTTCTTCCTCCCGAGCTTGTCACCAAGCCACCCAAAAAAGAGCTGACCGGCGAGGGTCCCACAGAAAGCAACGCCATTGACGGCAGCTGCGACATTGGGAGGGAGAGTCCCAGGCTTTTCTGCGCCGTCCACGTGGTAATAAATACGGCCGAGGAGCTTCGTAACGAGAGAGATGCAAAAGAGATCGTAGGCGTCAGTGAAGAATCCCATTCCGGCGATAATGATCGCCGTGAAATGGTACCATTGCGTCTTGGCCACGTCAAGTGCATTCAACACTTGTAATTGATCCTTAGCCATCTCTTCTTCTTCTCCTCTGCAATTTCATCAAAAAAAAAAAAAAACTCGAACTATAAGTACCCTTTGTAAGATTGTATATATAGGCCATTTAGAATTTTATCAATTTAAATGTAACTTGTGGGAATCTCTAACTTAAAAAGATATCATAGACAATATGATTTTACTGTTTCTATCGATTTCACTTGCCAAAATATTTTTTGAATTTTTTTTCATTTTCAGTAAGTATATAATTTCGATATATATATATATATATATATATATATAATAAGAAATAATTTATTACAAACAATAAAGTAGTTTACCGAACTTGAAATAAGTTAGGCAATTTTCAAAAAGCAAGCAAATCGAATTAGACCCTAGTTGATATATATATCAAGTAACGCATTAAAATAGCATAAAAGTTCTGTTTAAGTTTTCTCATTTCGTTGATCTCATAAAGCATGTTGACCGAAATTAAGTTAACTTGCAATTTTAATGTAGGCTCTAAAATTAACATGTGTGTTTTCAGATGTGTAGCTTTTAACGAAAAGTTTCATTTTTTGTGTACACCCTACTGATTTTAAAAGAAACCAATGCATTTTAAATATAAGAAAATGAAATGAAGTGGTAATAAAAGTCAACTCTAATTTTCTTCCAGTCCACCCTCTATAGTATATGTGTTCCCCCTATTAATTTCTAAGATTTGTAGCTAATATAATTATCCATTTATGAGAGAAATTATGTGTATAACTCATTATCCTAATTTTTTGGGTTTCTACCGACGTTACCAATTATTTAAAAAGTCAACGAAGAAATAAGAGGTCCTTGATCCATCTATTTATACGATTTTTCAACTATTACTATTTTGTCTTTACTCTAGTTACCCACAAAAGTTGACTTGTGACGTTTAAAACTAAATCTGAACACGAAGCTACAAAAACTTTAGTGAGAGTAAGACAGCGAGTTGTTTTGACTTAATTGCGGACACACCTCTCATTGATGAAAATATTTCTCTTTTATTGAAAAAATATTTTGCATGTCCTTTTGAAATTTTTCATTTGTGAATAATCATGCACTCAACAAAACAAAACAAAAACTTTTCAAGAAAGTGGGAGATGAGATCCAACAAATACGTTTCAAGAGAACTAATCCTAATTAATGATCCAAGAATGTGGGAAAAGCAACATTTGATCTAATTTTTTTCCATTAAGAAAAAACACGAACAAACAGAGATTGAAGAGGCAGAGAGGAACACAAAACTAAAAACACGATAACGTCCTAATTCCTAACTAACATCATTTTGCATCCATAAACATATATAAACATTTTTTTGATAAAATATCCATAAACATAAACATCAAATTAAAAGACATAAATTTAAAGAAAGACTTACATGAATATACAAGAAACTTCTTCTAAGAGGAGTTTGTGTAGGATCTGATCTGATCAAGTGTTTTAAGTATTGTCAAAAGAGTGTAGAAAGTGATAAACTCTTTAATATCCTTTTTTTGTCTGGAGAAAATGTAGAGAGAGAGAGAGAGAGGGAGAGGAACGAGCGTTGAAGCTGCCTATGAACAAGGACAGAGTTGAAGCGTCTTGAAACGGCCATTTATAAGCTACTCTCTAATGAGATATTCCCTTTTCTATTTCGGTATATTCTCCTTCCAACGACGCCGTTTTATTGCCTTGTGTTTTTCTTCTTTTTCTTTCTCTTCCCTTTTTTACCAACTTTTTTACTTCGTTTAGAAAAACTATTTAGGACAACGATGATTCTGTTTTGGGAATATTTCAAAATGTACCACATTTAAACAAATGGCATTCAAAATGTACCACTTCCGCAAAAGCCTTTCAAAATGTACCATTTCTCAATTGCACGCGCTCGACCATGGACGAAAATACCCTTGATTGGGACAGAGAGGCTGTGTCAGAGACGGAGACAGCTTCTATCGGCGCTTCCAAAGAAGGAGCAGGGCATCAATTAATGCTGCACGGTTACATGTGGTAGATAATTGATTTTAATTAATAGAAATGATAATAGAGTAGGGTTAGGCCATTAATTGCTCTCTTAATATATCAGACAAAAGAGCTTTGTAGATCTGAAAAAACTGGAAATCTGGGGAGAAACTCTGATGCTGGGCGAAATTGGAGTTCTGGTTGAAGAAGGGTGCATTTAAAGCTAAAGAAGGTAAAATTTATTGCAACATTTTTTGTCCACCGAAAAAGGGTAGATTTGTTTGTTTGTGATAAATGCAACCACCCACATTCTACATTCTAAGATGGTGGTATTTATTGGAGGACGACAGGTACTGATGGACGAAGGAGTAATGATATTGGTCGGTTGCTGGGAATGCAAAGAAAGTGGAGAGTGGCGATTCAAGATGTCGGCAAAGAAATATGCAAAGTGTGTAGACGTAAGCGCAGGAGATACGATTGCCGATGTTGAGCAGAAAATTGCCGCAGCGTTTGGAGTAGACAGAAGAAGGACAAAAATGGAGCTGAGTTTTTGGTTCGAAGGAGGAGACACTGTCTACACGCAGCAAAAGATGCCGCCAGTCTCTGTTGACAGCGAGAGTTCATTGTCGAAATTCAAAAAGGTAAGAATAGAAAAGGGAGGTATGAACATGTATCTATGTTTAGAAGAAGACGATGAAGATGTGTCAAATCTCGGGGGACAAGACGATTGTCGGGGATAAGAAATGGCGGGACAGCACAGAGGTGAGAGTGAAAGCACGCAGATAATTCCTGTAACTTTTGAGGAAGAGGACTTTTTAGAGGAAATATATGCGTTTGAAGAATCTTATAAAAGGAAGGAAGCTGTGCTGCAAAAGGGAAAAGCTAAGCGGGGACGAGAAGAGGAACTGGTGGTAGCATTGGGCACGGATAGTGGAGGATGGGCATCCGAGTCGGAAGACAACATGTTAAGTGAGGGAGAAGATTCAGGCGACTATGACTTTGATAATATGAGGGAGTTGATCGATAGGGAGTACCCGCCGGATTGGGATCCTTGGAAGGATTCGAGGAAGAAAGCATTGACAATTGCAGACGGATCGCCGGGGGGACAAAATGGTAGAGTGGAGGACGATATATATTCCGGTATGGAGGACGATATATACGAGGACGATATGTATGTGGGGGACGAAAGTGTGGATGCAGAAGGAGGACAAATCCAGCCAATACTAGTCGATGTCGAGGTTAATCAGATGGACGGAAGGGAAGATACCACAACATTTGATGAAGGTGACGAGGAAAGTAGAAAACTGTGGGGACAAAAGGGGACAACTTCACAAGGATGGGGACAAAGTGCAGAAATGTCACTCGAACTGACAGAATCGTTGGGTCCACCAGAGGGACAAAACCAGCCAATACTAGTCGAAGTTGAGGTAAATCAGATCGATGGAAGAGAAGATGCGACAGCATTTGTTGAAGGTGGAGAGGAAAGTGGAGACATGTCAATTCAACTAGGGCAGACCAGAATGAGGCAAGTGGACGTTACGGTGACACCGTTGGTAAGAAGAGAAGATGCCTCAACTTTTAAGGCTTTTGAGGAAGGAGAAGGACAAGGAAATTTGGAGGTGACAATGGGATGTAGTGTTGGAGAGGAAAGTGCAGAAATGGGGCAGATAAGGTCGCAACTTACAATGGGGGAGACAATGTTTACTGAACTTGTGGGGGACGATATTGTGATGGGTAGAGATGCCGCACCGTTCAGGGACAACGCAGTCGGCGTTGCGCAGGACAAGGCTAACATGAATCTTAGGAAAGCTGGGGATTCAATATATATTGGGCGGATATTCCAGAACAAAGGCGAGTTGCATAAGGCATTAACTGTGTACTCTATAAAAAGGCTATTCAATTTCCGAATAAAAGCTTCCGACAAGACGCGTGTAATTGCAGTATGCCATGATAAAAAATGTAATTGGAGGGTATATGCAACGTTTCACGAGAACTCGGAGAATGTGGAAATTCGAACAGCGAGTCTAAGACATAGTTGTGATGTGAAAGTGCGGTCAAAGTACGGGATGAAAGCAACACGATCGATTCTAGGTGAGTTGCTAAAAGCAAAATATGCGCATGGAAAGAAGGGACCTAGAGCCTGTGAACTACCAGAGATAGTATTGGCTGAACTAAACGTTACCATATCATACATGAAAGCTTGGAACGCGAAAGAGATGGCAATGAAAAAAGCTCGTGGCAGTGAATAAGAAAGCTATAAGTTCTTGCAGACATATCTCCATCTGTTAAGGACAACTAATCCAGGTACGCTGTCCACAGTCCATACGGATTATACTGAGGAGGGGGAAATCCGTTTCAAATATTTATTTTTTGCGTTTGGGGCTTCAGTTGCTGGGTATAAGTATTTGCGGAAAGTAATAGTGATAGATGGAACACAGACTAAAGGGAAATACAAAAGCTGTTTAGTTGCTTCCAGTGGACAAGATGGAAATTATCAAATATTCCCATTGGCATTCGGAGTCATTGACAGTGAGAACATAGCAGGGTGGACGTGGTTTTTCAAACAACTGTTACAGTTTGTCCCTGATGAAGACGATCTTGTCTTCGTCTCCGACAGACATGCGGCCATATATGCTGGACTAAGGACAGTGTATCCACTTGCAAAGCACGCTTGCTGCACTGTGCATTTATTTAGGAACGTTGTCCACCATTTCAAGTGTGAGGGGCTTGCTAAAATGGTGTCCAATGCGGCTAGATCTTACACTGTGGGAGATTTGCGATATTGGTTTGAAGAAATTCAGAAAAGAGACATCAATTGTGCCAATTATTTGGTAGAGATAGGAATATCTCATTGGACACTTGCGTACTTCCCAGGAATGCGATACAATGTGATGAGCAGCAATATCTCGGAGTCCCTAAATGCTGCAATGCAAAAAGCCATAGATTTCCCGATAGTGACGATGGTAGAATTCATTAGGACTATGTTAATGCGTTGGTTTTACGAGAGAAGAGAAGCTGCAACTAGAACGAGGACAAGATGTACGCCAGAGATCGAGGAAATGCTAATAGATCACCTGAAATTAGCGACAGATTGTGCTGTCATAGCAGCAAGTGAATGGATTTATCAAGTAAACGACGGTTTTGGTATCGTTTTCACTGTGGATCTAGAGAAAAAAACATGTACTTGCAGAGTATTTGATGTGCTAATGGTGCCGTGTTGTCACGCTTTAGCCGCGGTGGGGATAAGGAACGTGGACATTTACTCCCTGATCGGGAACTATGCATTCGTGACGGAGTGGCGTAAGCTCTGGCGTGCCCATATTCTACTTCCGCCTAAGGAAAAAGACACGGAGGTCCCAAACGTAGTTAGTGAAATGGTTGTGAATCCACCAAAAACAAGAAGACCAGGCGGAAGACCAAAGACAGTACGCATACCATCGCGGGGAGAGTATCAGGTAACAAATTAAGAGTCTTAAATGAGTTTTGTCCTTCAACACAAAAAAATTAATTGTGTCCATGTATGTGTTGCAGGGCAAAGGAGGGAAGAAAAAAAAACCTAACAAATGCACCACATGTGGGAAGGATGGCCACAACAGAGCAACTTGCAAAAATCCTATCTAAGTTTTAGGGAATAATACTTCGGCGGCTTTTGGTCCATGAAGTATTGCGGAAAAGAGGGTTTATCGTTACGTAGGTTGGATAGGCCACGGGAAATTTGTTTAGTCCATGGCTTAACATCCAATTTTTTAGTCCATGGTTTAACACGGAAAGTATAACTAATATATATTTATCTTTTGGTAATTGGATGTAGTATGACATGTATGGGTATCTTTTGGCAAGCACATCTCACAACTTATCGAACAAAAACTATATATATTTATCATATACATCTTCGCGGAAGACAAAAATATATGGGAGACCATATAAAGGAAAAACAAACAAATCATAAGACCCACCAATTAACACAGAGAGGACAGGGGTTCCAAACATTACAGTTGGAACATTCTGAATATCGACGAGGGGGATGGATCAAGTAGCACGTATAGCCAGTCCAGTTGAATCTAAGTTGGGTTGGGGCAATCTTCTTAATATCGGATATCACAAGCTTGGCCACACGATCAGCGTTGCGAGAAGAGACAACTTCTTGTTTGAATAGATTCATGGCGATGATCGCATCCTTAGGTCTATTAATAGAGACAAGGTAGAGACCCTTGGTGAAAAGAATTTTGTCGGATGGATCGGGTATATGAGCGAGCATGTGCATTGCTTCTTTGATTAAACCTTCAACTGCAGCGAGCCTAATGCTCTCTAAGTAACAAGCAGCAGGATTTCCAGCCTTTACACATCGTAAAACAAAGAAGTAAATGGGTGAACCGATGAAAACATTTTGAGGATGCGCTTCAAGGAGAGCCAGAGAAGTCTCCCGCAAAACAGAAGGATCAAGTGCGAGACGCATGCCAGCGTTCCCAGAGAGAATAAGGGGACCTAAGTGTCGGTAACATGACTTACCAACAAGAAGGACAATCGATACTCTAAGATGTTTGGGAAGCTTTTGCCACAAAAACATATCAAGGAATTGGAATTAGGAATGGTTTAGCACAATGAATGTTGTTACTTACCTATATATAGATGGGATTACTAATTAATGGTTGGGGACAATGAATGCTGCTGTTAGAGATTTTGAATTAGTAGTTGGGGACAATGAATGTGGAAAAGTAAATACTAATTAAAGTGACAAGACCTATCTCATTACTAGGTGATTAACTATTCTAAGGGATAACTGTTTAGCAGTTTCGTATTGCATTGGGGGACGTGAATATATAATTTACGGTAGCTTGTCGGCATAGAAATAAGTAGATCTGGGGCGAGATATCTTGATACTTCATATTTTTACAATATATATAAGTTGTAGAATTGAGTCGAAGCTTGGAAGCGTCTCGGGTACAATAATCGCGTGTAAGCAAAAACACGTTGGGAGGACACGAACGTCTCTAAGTGATAGCTTCATATCTTAAATATAGATAACTTGTAGAATTCGGGCTACAATAAAAGAGGGACGAACATTACACGATAGTCCCCAGTAGACAACATGATGAAAAAAATGGGGGACATAATAGCCGAGGGATGAAAAAAGAGCTATTAAAGCTACATATAAGTGCCAAGCACGAACGCGGCTACGGGGACAATAATCGCAAGGACGAGAACGATGATTTTAGGACACGAACGAGCGACGTCGACAATGGAACGAGGGGAGCGTTGCAAAAGACATAAATTCTGCTGAAGCAATTTAATGTCTTCCTGGTAAAGGTCCAGACGATCGCACATCAAGGCAAGATCCATGTGCTCCCCGTTAGGGGCGGTAAGTAGGAACTTAAGGTGTTCTTCCTGTTCCCTAATAGAGCACTTAAGCGCAGAAATCTCCTCCATAAATCCCTCGTCCAACCATTTAACAAGATGGCGCCCAGGTCGGTCCTGAATACAAACATAGCAAATGTAACTATAGTAGATCGAATTATTGAATATAGTAAGAGTGGGATTTAAACTTACATCTCTCTTCTCGCACTGATAAAACTGCCTGCCAGGGTTGTCCTCGGAGAGTGAATTCGCAAGTACGACCGTCCCTCCGCAGTAACAGTGACGAGGTATACCAATATTTTCAAAAGACATTGGCCCGGGATAAACAGGTCCATAAGAACTAAGAGATTCTCGGGATGAATCGTTCGACTGGGTATAACTATGGAGGCCCATGGTTCGTGGGAAACAATTAGATGGTAGAAATTATGGAGTAGGCTGGGGGGAGTTTGAGAGAAAGGGGATAATTGTGTAGATGAAGAGATCATTAATGTGGAGAGATAAATAGAGACTGGTGCCCAAAAATCTTGAAAAGAATATAATATAAATTTATTAAGCAAAAAGTTACCTTTTCGCTGATGTGATGACACAGAAGGAAAATCATGGGGAAGCGTAACGGGTTAGGGGAGAGAATAGTGGAGAGCAACTGGCTTCTACTGTTGTTATTGGGTATCTAAACGTTGACTTGTTTGTAAAAAATGCCTATCCAAAATTGCGACAGGACAACATAATATAGAATATTTTAGGAGACAGGATCTCTGTTTGCGGAGGACAACCTAAATATCCAAGTAGTTCCTAAATAGATAGCAGTTTAAAAATATTTAGTTCCTAAGCATCCAAGTAGCATCCAAGAAGAGTAAATAATTATTACAAAAAGACATAAGTTCTTAAGCAGAAATATTGAAAGGGGGATCACAGCCGGAGAGGCTGAACAAACTCCTCGAAGATGTCGACAGCAAATCTCATCCGGATATTCTCCACAAGTTCTTCAGTTATGCTGTCGTGACTAATGTTTTGGAAATGAAGCTCAATGTACTTCATAGCAAGCGGGCCGCTGTCGTCTTCATGTTCGCTTTGAAAGATCTCAGGAAGACGATCAAAGGCGAACTCAGGGGGAACTTGATGATTGCAGAGAACATCTTGGGGGACAAGTGATTTGATGATAAAAGGAAGCAACACAACGAGAGGTTTCATGAGCACGCCCATCTGTTTGTCGGTTTTGGCAGCCACGTTAGGGTCAAGAACACCTATGGTACCCTCTTTCAGATCTATGACAAGCGCAGCCCAGTGGCCCCCAGACAGATGTAAAGGCGCGTACAGAGTGTCGACATCAGAAAACCAAGCCTGTCTCGTGAATCGGCCAGGGACTATACCCCTGACGTAGTCCCGTATCTTACTGTTCCACGGCCACTCAGATTTACTTTTGGACTTCTTGAAACGAGAATAGAGTTCGCTAAGGGTAATCGAAAACCATGAATCAAGTATGGCAGACCTACTCTGGACCAAAGTATCCCCAAACCTCCGAGCCAACAGGCTTAGCATGGCATCGATGTGCTGGATTGTATAGAGGACAATAATTAATTTAAGGGACATGATATTATAAAATACAGGTATCATTGGTTTACAACGTACCTCTTGGTGGACAGAATGGTGAGGAGTAAGCATATCCTTAAAAAATGATCTGGGGACAACATGTGCATCGAGGACGAACTCCCTGACCATTAATGGAAAATAGTAATTTAAAGGTTTGGGGAAAAAGAAGTAAGTAATGAATTCAATAAGAAACTGAATTACCTCTGGCGATAAGATTTGAGAGTGGACAAGAAATGTTTCCGAAGATCATCATTTACTAGGACAAACGGGTGCAAAACCTCATCAGTTGATTGGGAAACACTGTTGGTCCCTGTGGATTCTTGTCCCTGGACTGGAATAGGGTCACGGAAACGGTGGGGTTTATTCCTTGCCCTTTTGGGAGGGAGGATCGGCTTAGAAGAATCCCCGCCAAGAGAAGAAGATTTTCTCTTTTTCCCAGAGGGACTTTTTTCTGAAATTGCCACACCACCAGTAGCATTTCCCTATAAAAAAAGGTATTTTAGGGAAAGGGACAAACAGAACCACAATTAAAATGCTGAAAATTTATGAGATACCTCTTGATCGTCAACCAGTTGTTCATCAGCACCTCTTGAGGATTTAAAAAGCTCTGGCGGCCATGCTTTGTTTGCCTAGATGAATGGGCACGACAGGTTAGGGATAAGAAATTAGAATTTGCGTTTTAGTTATTTACAGAAATAAGTATTATACCTCGTCCATAGCTTCATCTTGGTGATCCTCGTCTTCAGACCTTCCTTCACTATCACCACTACTCTCGTCACCCTCTTTGGGTTCGTGGTCCCCAGAAACAGACTTATCCTCTAAAACCTCAGTCTCAACATCGTCCCCGGAGACATCAACAGACTTTTCAATTACTTCCTCCCTTCTGTCCTCGCACTCAACAACATCAACGTGCTCAGACACACCAACAGACTTATTCTCTATAGCTTCCCTTCTCTCCTCACCAACAAATCCCACGTCCTCAGACACACCAAAAGAATTTCCACCAGCAACCTGTTATAGTTGATTAGAAGAGAGGATCATATCCATGGAAAGACACAAGTATCCACGTTGAAACAGAGACAAACCTGCTCTGTATCTTGATCGTCCTCTGATTCATCAGCCGAACTGATCTCCTCTACATCTTGATGAGGCGTTTGGAAGTCGTTGGGCTAAAAGTAAAGAGAATTAAAAGTAAAAAAGGATTAGAAAAACAAAAAACTCCACCACATAAGAAAACAAATAATGACTTTAGTTAAACTTACGTTGTGATCTTCAGGAAAATTCTCTTTAACAGACTTTCCAACCAGGACCTGTGTAAAATGGTTTAGGAACCATTCCCAGAAAGAGGTAGACAAAAAAAAAATGTAATATACAAACCTCATCTGCAACTTCTTCGTCCTCGGTTTCCTCTGCGTTGTCCTCACTAATGGTTGGCAATGGAGTTTGGAAGTCTTTTGGCTGAATAATATGTAAGAAACAGAGGTTATTCAACGTCAAAACAATAGAGAAGGACCAGAAGCAACAAGGAAACTTACGTTGTGATCAATAGAGAACTTCGAGGAAGAAGGACCAGAAGGAGATGGATGAATGGTAGAAGGACCAGAAGCAACAAGACCAGGAGAAGGTCCAAACGGACCAGACTTAGCAGGACCAGAGGGAGATGCATAAGACTGGTTGAGGTTTTGTAAAACATCAGACACTCCTCCGTACTCAGACCAGGTTTGCCGCTGAAACTCCTCCAAAAGTTGAGAATTACTTTTCCCCTTAGACGGCGATTGAGGAGAACTTGGGGCGGGAGGGTCTATCTGGACATGGGGGGAATCAGAGGTCTGCCCACTAGGGACCTTGTTGATATTTATATTTTCTGGGGGACCATGCGTTTGTCCCTCAGTAACAGCGTTCGTTAATGGGACATCTGCGTGTCCCCCGGACTCCTTGTTTACATTTGCATTATTAGGGGGACCATAGGTTTGTCCCTCAGATGGTTTGTTTTTACCTGGTGAAGCAGCTTTCGGAGGGGGGGTTGTTGGAAACTTCCCACCATGGCGCAGATTGCTAATAATCTCGTCTAAGAGTTCGTCTTTCAATAAAGACTTCTCTACTCCATACATCCGACAGACTTCACCCATCAATTCAACCTTCAATTCCTCTTTCATGTCACGGAACTTCGAATTAACTTCTTCCATGATCAGAGCATGGAGAACATCTTTACCTTCAGTCCCTGCTGGGGGACAAAAGTCTTCATAGACCTTCCCTTTACCTTTTGATGAACCAGATGGACCACCCTGGGGAAACTCAGGCATGTCAGAGTTTATATTTGGACGTCTCACAGGTACCTTCTTGGTCTTGCGAACATTGGGTTCTTTGGGGTTCTCATCAACGACTATCTTTGGCCAAGTACGACACCTACCAATCCAGTCAGCTTGGCAGAACTTGTATCCGCCACCAATAAGGCTTTCCATATAGTCAATCGCCGGGTCAGAGACTTCATCAGGCCAATCGTTGATCGATGGGTGTGGGGGATCATCAGTAGACAACAGCGGGGCAATCCTTAACTACATTGAATTCAATAATTAGTTAGTAAACACTTGGGTACTAGGGTAAAAAAATAATAATGTTCACGAGAAGGACAAAAATAATAATTACCCCAGGAATTAGCTCTGTTTCCATTATGTTGGAATTGTGAAAAGTCTTCAACGGAGGCAAAGTAGTGATTGACCCATCAATGATAGTCTGCGTATCATCAGGTTGATTAAGGTATCTCTCAAAAACTGGGATGGCCTTTAACATCAGCAGTTGGAAGACAAGAGGGAACCCATGGGTTGAAGAGTGAGACTGGTTGAACTTCGCAATTAGGGCAGAGAGACTGTTAACCTTCTGACTGACCTTAACCATTCGCATTGTCAGAAGGAATGATTCTCGTCCCCATGGAAACGCTTCAAACGACTCCAAATGCTGAACCATTTCGACAACTTGAAGAGAAGCTCTCACAGGTTGGGAACTGCAAAGCAATACCCCTTCAACGATCACGATAAGAGCGAGACGAAGCCTTCTCCAGTCATCCATCTTCTCTTTCTTAGGCTTCATCTTGTCTTTCCTCAGCCAGTCAACAATGTCCTTGATGAGGACACCCGTGTGGTCCTCGCCTATGAGAATATTCCAGTACGGATGTTTTTTGGTACATTCTCTCTGCGACTTCAATACATCTGCCGGTGAAGAATACGGCCGACAATCCAGACCAGTGAGAATGGCAAATTCTCTTAACGAAAAACGGAATGGCTGACCGGCAAAAATAAACCATAGCTCGTGTTTTTTCCTTGTGTAGACGCCTCTACACAACATCTGATGTACTAATTTGCCGGAAAACGAACATTTGCGGACAGGAAGCTGAAACAGCGGGCCAAAGCATGAGGCGCGGAGATAATTTAACTCTTTTGTCCCTTCTAGGATTTCGACGAGATCGAGCAGATACTCCGGCTTTGAATAAGCATTAATACGTCCGAGAGGCGGATAGCAGTCAGTGGCGTAGAGCCTTTTCGGAAGTTTGTCCCTGTTTACTACCGGGATCTCCGGTCGCGGCTGATATGGAGAATTTGAGTGGGTCGCGGTTGACTTGGCGGAGACAAAAGGGTCGTCGTCGTCTTCAAAGGAAACCGGGCGCCTGGAACTGCCAAGCGGAGACTTTTGTTTCAATTTACTCGAGGAGGACTTCATCTGCGGCGGAGGAGAGAAAACAGGAGAAAAAATTAAGAATTTCTTTGAAAATCGAACAGTGGAAAAGGAGCATGCAGATGGACAGAAACCCTAGAAATTGGGGACGAAACGATTAAATCAAATTAGATGACTACGAACCAATAATTAGATGACTACAAAATAACTTGTGATTAATCAAGTATGAGGGACAAAATCGAGTGTCAGTTACATTCAAAGAATCTGCCGAAAATGGTTTACCGTAACTAACTTCCGATGAGAGGAGAAGGAGAAGAAAGAGAAAGGGAAAGTGAATGAGAGACGAAAGCGGTTACACTTCTCGCAGGGGAGAGAAGTTTGTGGGGTGTAATTTTGCACGGGTCTCGAGGGTTAATAGGGAAACGAGAAGGTGAGAATGTCAACTCGTTGCCAGACGCAGGCGGGAAAACTGTCTGTGAGGGCAAAATTGACAATTCACAGACAAATGTGGTATGAGTTGAAAGATGGAGAAGAATGTGGTAGATCTTGAAACAAATAGGGAAAATGTGGTAGATGTTGTAATTTTTCCTTCTGTTTTGCTGTTATTATTTTTTTATTATTATCTACTACTACAAAATAGCTGTTCCACTCCCTGTTCTAAAAATTATCGCCTAACCCGATTACTCTCCGCTTAATCGCTAGACTCACCCTTTCCGCCTCGATTAATGATTAATCTTTTAGAAAAATCAATCATCCGATTACTTTCCGCCTAATCCGATTAATTCCCGCCTAATCCGATTATTTTCCGCCTATTCTTACATCTCCCGATTATTTTTTGGTTGCAAGTATAAAACAACTTTTTTTTGTTATTTAAACATTTGAATTGGAAGTTTGTGATATTTTACAATAATTTCTGTTCAAATTTTTAATAAAAGTCATAATTTTTAATAAAAAATCATAAAAATTTGACTTAAAATATATTTTTATGTGTTTACTACAATTTTGAAAACAACATTAGATTAATATATTTTTAAAATATTAAAATAATTTTAAAACTAATCCCCGATTTTAATCCGATTTTTTGATTAATTGCTAGATCCATACCGAACGCTCGACTAACGCCTAACGATTTTTTATACAAGGATTCTACTATTATTAATAAGTTTCTTTTTTACTCGTAGTTGACCATGAATAATTTTGTTACGGAGTTACATGCTCGGAAAATGCAATTTTTATTGGGATCTTCGTCATTTAATAGCCTAGCATGCAGTTTATGCAGATATGAGTTTCAAATACTAATAAAGTATTCGGTTGTAAGAAAGACAAAATATTATACACTAGGGACTAGGCCTTGTATTTTGGTTTCTCACTCATTTTCATAGAAAGAATTTTATCAAAAATGCTAATAATTACAAAGAATAATTATGTATAACTTTGGTTAATTTTTAAAAATGCATGTATTTCATATCCGTAATCATCATTTATTCAAAAAAAAAATTGTTTATAACTCAACAATAATAAATGATTTCTATTGGTTAACAAAGAAAAAGAAATACTCCTTCTGTACCATAAAGAATGATTTTATGAGGTTTTATTTTTGTATCAAAAATTTTATTTTTCTGTAAAATTTTATCAATTAATATTAATAAATTATGAATTTCAAGAATCATTAATTGAGAATTTTAAAATTTGATGAATTACTATTAGTTAATAGTTATGAGAAATAGTTTAGTATAAATAAATAGTGCATTTATAACTAAACATTAAATATATTTTTTAATTGATGTGAAACTCTATAAAATCAAACTTTTTAATTTTCATTTAGAGCGACAAGCGGACAAGTCAACAAAAAAACATCTTATTCTTGAAGATATTAGAGCATGTATATTGGTGAATCTCTCACCAAAATCTCTCACATACAAAAATAATAATAAACTAATAAATAATACTATTTAATTATGAGAGTCTTTAAAAAAAGTGGTAGGAGTCTCTCAAAAAGATAAATTATAAGAGACTTTCACCAATGTTTCGAGAGACTCTCATAATTAAATAATAACTTTTATTACTTTAATATGTGTTGAAGGGGAACAAGACCAAAGATAGAATCGGTGTTGGCAGCGCAGGGTGACGAAAGGCTTCTAGTTGCATCTTCGCCGCTCCTCTTCAATTCTGTTGTGTAATCGCAATAACTTGTGTAAAGAATAGTATAAAAAACTAAAAAAAGCAATAACTGCAGGACGTGTGATATATCTACAATGTCAATGGTATTTATTAGTGTAGTTTTATGGGGTATACACATATACTGTAGCGTTGAATAAGGGAAGGCTCATGACTTTGGAATGGTATGTTTCGTAGTATCTGATCAACGTCAAGCCTTTAAGTTTAAGCTGGCATTTACAGAAATATAAATATCTAGTTTCAGCCCAGCAAGTTGTTGTTTTTTCTTCCGTGAGACAAGACAACAACCATTTTTTGGATGGCATCTTTAATTCCAACCATTCTTATATCCTTTAGCAAAAAAATTCCAACCATTCTTATTAGTAAAGCTCTATACATTAGTTTTTTTTTTTTAAAAGAAAGGCTCTCTATACATGTCTTTCACGTAAAAAAAATCCATGGTGGAGATATATTACATCATCTTCTCCATTTATGAATTGGAATATTTACTTACTCCTGTTTATTTTTTCTGAAAAGTACGCCTGTTTTCTACCAACACCATTTAATTTTCTAGTTTTTCGAAATATAGGAAATGTTCGGTTCCGAAATGTTCTCATTACAAACTATAGAAGACAAGGAATGGTGTTGACAAAGAAAACATACGACTCTTTATCAAAAAAAAAAAAAAAAACATATGACAATGACTTTGATGACACAGCCTACCCAATATTTTTTTTTTAAAGACTTTGATGACAATTTTATGACACTAAAGAATAGATACCAGGACGTGGCAAACTGGGACACTACATGGAAATTGGTATATAGCCGCTGCTAATCCTTTTCGATTACATAGGCCGTGTTCTGATGAACAGGGCCATAGCAAGGAAAACTTAGTTTCAAATTGTGAATAAAGACTGATGGTGACTATATATATATAAACAAAATAAAGAAGTTAGTTACAAACTTATACTACGTACTCAAAATTGTCAAAGTTCTACAACTGGAAAATTGTCAACTTTGTTTGCTCAGTTACCACTCAATTTTGATGTCTTTTTACAAGAAAATCCGTCAAATCATTGTTTTTTCAAAATGAAAAATTTAAATAAACTCTAACTTTAAAAATTGTGTTTATGTGAAATATAATTTAAGACTTTTTTTGTTAAAGAATACTAGTATCATTTAAGACTTATTCATCCTAAACATTTTTTGTCTTCTGATTTGCAATTATAATCGTAGTGAAATACTCATTGATTGATCTTTTCACTTATGAGATTATAATTAGTACTACTATAAACTGAAAGGCAAAAAAATATGAAATCACGGCAAAGTTTGGTGGGAGATTGTGTGAGCAAAATAAATTAATTTAAAATTGATGGCTTGACTTCCCTATCACGTTAGAGAAATAATGGAGATGTGTTTTCTGGTGTTGACTTGCTACGTCCATCTGTTGAGATCTTATTGCTTATATAAGTCCACAATTCCGTTCGTTCACATTGAGCGGTTCCTATAAAATGAAACGACACTCAAAATTAATTTAGAAACCATATAAAAATAATTTAAAATTTGAAGTGCGTCTTCTCATTTCTTTCTAGATAATTAAATTGTCATCTTCAAACTAGCTAAAATCTAAACGCAAATAAACAAGAAAGAGCAAGATATAGAGACCAAAAATAAAAACAACAGATTTGGAAAGTTAAAAAAAAAAAAAAAATAGAACTAGAAAATTATACCACAACAAAAAACATTCAACAAAAAATTAAATAGATAGCAAATTAGTGAAAATAGAGAAGAAAAGATGACAAAACAAAAATAGAAAATAATACAGACACAGAAAAATATAAACAAAAGTTTAAAGACGTGGACAAAAGAGTTAGAATCCATGAAAGATATGTGAACAAAAAAAATCTGAAAATGGGTAGTTGAGAAAGTTAAAAATTATTGCAACATCATATGTTGGATGAATCATAGTATAAAAAACAAATATATATTTTTAAAAAATTGATGGAATAGATTATTAGGATCATCAAAATATATTTTTATATATATAATGGAAAATGTATAAAGGAAATACAAGAGAAATTAATACAACACAAATAAAAATATCTGTGAATATTGCGGGTTCTCTCTTAGTTCTAATAACTAAGTTAGATTAAGTATTCAGTTCCCTCCTTCCCACATGAATACCATTATTGGTAAGAGGAAACGGGTACAACTATTAGTAGTAGTACTCTACACTTACTAATTACTAATTAGTAAAAAAAGATGGATATAAATTCAGCCAAATTAAGTTTTGTTTGTTTTTTGTTTTTATCAACACTTAAACGTAATATACAAATTTAGAACAAATACTAGATTACAAATCATAGTTGTTTAACTCTAGTTTTTTTGGCGTGATATTTGAAACATTGGACTTTATGTAAGGCTGTGATTAGAATTAGAGCGTCCCCCTAAGAAAAAATGTCTTGAGTAATAGAATGAGGACCGGAAATACTTGTAGGCTAGCTCCGGTTTTGCCACTACTTTTTATCATTAATATCTTATTCTTATGAAACTTATTATCTTCTGAATAATTGAAAGTTTGTCTGTTTTCCGTGATGGACTCATAATATGTGGCCACTCCATTTTCTCCTATGTCTGGATAAACCGTCTCTACCAAACACTGTTTTTTGATAGATAAACTCTATAACTAAGAGCATGTTTACTCATGAACCAAAATGAGTATCATTAACAGTTTTTTATTATTGTTTCATGAGTTGAAACCAAAAATAAGTATCAATAGATTCACTCCAATGATACTTTTCATCTAAATATCAACCCAAAATATATATTTTTTATTATTATTCATGAAATAATACCCATAAAAGAATCATGAGTAAACATGCTCTAAGAGCTACTAGAGAGAATATTATATTCATTTTTTTTCAAAAGAATTCAATGTGTTATTGTTTTGGAAAATTAAATTCTACGATAGATGGTGTATGTATTTTACATTTAAAATATAATTATAAATTAGTACTAAAAGTGATTTATTTTTATGCTTTGTTGATGAATATATTAATATTCTATTCTATGGTTTTCATATATATGGAATTTCGTAAAAATAAATAAAAATTATAGTGAAATGACATCTACCAAAATATTAATTTACAAATATGGTCCATATGGATATAAGCGATTCATATTTTTCAACCATTTCTCCAATAACCTCACTTCTCTTTATTCTACTACATCTCTACCAGAGCAAGCCTAACTCAATTTTAGAATGATGATTATGATAGTGGGTCGATATTCCTCACTCTTGGTTGATGATAAAAGATGGTGGCAACAATAGGATCAAAAGTGTCTTACGCAAAGGTGCCCAAAAACCATAAGGAAACTTGCAGAAATTGTCATATTTGGAAACCTCTTTAAATCGGGTTTAAAATTATATAGATACATATATAAAAATATCAACATTATTTATTGTGTTGTGTATACTGTAAAATCCTAGTATAGATCTTTCTTATTTCTCTTATTCTTCTTATATCTTTTTCTATTTATTTTTTATATCGAATTCATGGATCATATTCATTCAGCTTTTAATAATTTAGACCACACCTTATTTATCTTGAACTTAAATTGAATGAAAAAATTGTTTTTTCGTCAGCCATAAAGAGTTGAGGGGATATATATGGTCAACCCTTCGGCTCAATAAAGAGGGAAGGCGGATGCGTGCATGTAGTTAGAGTAATGACAAACCCTTAATATTAGTATTGTTATTTATTTGTGTTAGTGTTGACTTCGTAGACGACAATTAATTATATATATTTTTATTTTATTTTTAAATTAATTTCTGAACAATGATCCTACCCAATTAATTATTTTCTTCAAGTCCAAACAAAATTATTTTGTTTTGGAATCATAGTTATTCAGTCATGACAAAACCTTACGTATATATTCGTGTTGTCCAATTATATAGTTGTTGAAGTGTTGACGCGAACGAATTTTTATTCTACAATGCCAAAAACTATCAAGCCCAATTTTTAAAGTCCAGACAAAATGATCATAATTTAAAGATTAGGTGTGGAATTTTTGTTTTTTTTTGAGTAATTTTGAAAGTCCAAACAAAATATTTGAAAATGATCCAGCCCATATCTGATTCTTCGTTCGAATTAGACATAACATAAGTATCACATATGAATGATCAAACTGAGAAATGTAGGAGGTTTTTTTTTTTCAAAATAAATTTACTCAAACAATACCTAATCAGGGGCGGCGTTTGAGGTGTGCAATAGGAGCAAATGTTCCGGGTCCAACTTTTTTTTGGGTAAATTTAAGGGCTCAAATTTTTTTTAGTATGAAAAAAATATAATTTTTAAAACTTTAAGTTATTTTTAGCATGAAAAAGGTCCAATTTTTTTATTTAGTATGAAAATGGCCAATTTTTTTTAAAAAAATTGACATAAAAAAGGTCCAATTTTTTTATTTGTGTATGAAAAAAGGCCAATTTTTAGATTTGTACAGGGACTCCAAATTTATTGAGCCGGCCCTATACCTAATATATATAGAATTTCATCGAATTATTTCATATTAGACCTTGGCATAGCTGAAATAAGATTTTCAGACCAACGTTGGCATTAGTTTAATACTAAACCGAGTAAATTCAAAACCATGAGTTGTTTGGTCAACTTTCATGAGTTGTTAAATTCAACTTTTGGGAGTCAAAGTTTTCGGTAATACAGTACTAAACAAAATGTAGATAGATCATGATTTTTAAAGGACTGGATACAGGCAGATAAAATTACTATATTATGGTTGGGTGGGAATTTTTTGTTTTTTTTTTTGGCTGGTTGGTTGGGACTTATTATTTGTCTTTTTCAATAAGAATAATACTAAACTTTACGTATATGCATATGTATGAGTTGGACGAAAAGTACTGATAGTTCACACAGACACCCCAAATCTTTTTGCGAATATAATCTTACTTTTAAACTCAAAGTTGCCTCTTCTTCGACCGTTCGTGGCATCAAAAAGAAAACGGAGTCAGATTTCCACATAACAAAAGTTTCCTCCGATTCTGCATCATTTTTTTTTTTTGTAATAAACATTATTTTAGAAAAATAGGCCAAAATAGTATTATTGAACTACTTATAAACTATATAGTTTGTAGTATTACTTAAACTAGTCATATTTAGGGAGAAAAGGTAAATCTATACATTTTTTTGTTTTTGTTAAATTGCTTTCGATGGAAGCTGGAGAAACACTATTTGTATATAATAAAAAAAAAAAAAAAAAATTATCAAAAAAATAAAAAAAATTCAAACTTGTTTATTTTTCAAAAAAGGAAGCCGGAATAAACTATGAAGAATTTATACATTTTTAAAAAATAAGTAGAGCCCTTAAATTTGGGGGTCTAATAAAAATCAGGGATCCATTGAGTTAGCTTAGCAAGTTAGCCATTGAGGAAGTCAAGATTTCTTAGTGTAGGAAGACCAATTTTCAAACTGCTTAACTAAGGGAAGCCACATTGGAAGTAAAAGTGATCTATGAAAAATACTCGTCATGATGCCTTATCTCACTCAACATTCTATCACGAGTTGGGACACGGAAGGTGTTAGAAGATAGTTTGGTATGCGTCTCATAATTCATACCAAAGATAAGAGATTAGGCATATCTTTAATATGATTCCATATATCTCTTGAAATAAAATTAGAAAAAATAGAACTACCAAAAAGTAGGCTGCTTTGTTATACCAAAGATTAATCTGATAAGGTTATATGCTTTATCCCACAAATTCAAAACTGAGAGTTCAAGGAAAACTATACGTGTACTTAATTTAATGGTGTACATAAATGTAGTACATAATTAGAGTTATCTTTATGAAGGCAAGCATGACTATAAATATAAGCCAGACTTCGCAAAGACATGCAAAATATTTGAAGAAGAGATGTGTACTAAGCATGAGTTTTTCTCCTTCTTATCTTGGTGTTGATCTCGCGTCAGCCACTGAAAAAAGCTAGGAAGAAAACTAGTGAGAAATTGACACTAATAAAAAAAAAAAAAAGAGCTTTGAAGAAAAAAAATTCTTACTGGATATTTCTTTTTTGTCAAAAAGGAATTCTCATTTTTACATATTGTCTTCAATTGTTTCTTCACACGCAAAAATAAAACAAGAGTTTTGATTCCATACATATTTGTGTTTGTCAATATCAGAAAAATATAGATCGGGAGCGTGTTTTGGTAACAATGTAATCATTGAAAATCAACATTAAATATGGTCTCTAGCCCCCCATCCCCATGATTCCTAATTCCGGAACCCACTCATATTTTCTTCATATATATATATATATATATTTATTGTTTGCTATTAGTGGAAGTTCCAATACCAAAGGCCATCGTTTAAAGAGGAGGTTCGTTTAACATAAAAGAAAAAGTGGAGGCTTGATGATTCTTTCCAGCATATCGTAGTCTCATCAGTTTAACCTTTTTGTATAAGGCATATTTCCTTGAAACTTCATTCATACTCTTGTTGAATTATTTTTATTCATTTCTACATACCAGTTCGTGGGTTTACAGTAAAAAGGCATTTTTTAGACTTCATCTAAGGAATGATAGCAATTTTAGTGAGTTAATTGATTATTTGACAACTTTAACTTTAGGTTTTGGGAATTCTAATATGTGCTTAATCACACTACTCACCAGATAAAGTATTTTTTTCAATGAAAAAGAATAACTATTGAAACCAATGAGTTTACAGTGTGATATTTGGAATAATAATTGGGGAAAAATTAAAATTCTAATCTATATATAATAGCAATCTCAATAAATGTCATTTGCACCTCTCAACGGTTGCATCTTTTTATCGCAAACTTTTGTTTAAATATTTACAGTTATTATTTTTTTTTTGTGTTTTTATCGCATATTTTTGTTAAAATATTTACAGTTATTTTTATATTTTTATCGCATCTCTTCGTTAACATATTTGCGGGCTTTTTTTACAGTTATATGTTTAATTACAGTCGTATCTTTTCAGTTTACAGTTGTGTCTTCATAGTTGCATCTATTTATTTAAAGTTACGTATCATATTATATAGATTTAAATTTTGGTTTCTTAACTAAAATATATATTTTACGGTTGTTTTTCAAAAAGTTGCAATCTGAATAAATATTTTATACAGTTGCGTGTTTTTATCGTAGCACCTCACAAACAATTGGGATTGTTTTGTTGAACCATTGCAACATTTACTTTATTTAACGAACAATTATAATTTTTGATTTATCCTATAAATCGCTAAAATATTTAATTTTTTAAAAACTAAAAATATATATTTTACGATTGAATTTTTTAGAAAGTTGCAATCCGATTGCGTTTTTTAAAATATCTTCTACGGTTGCGTTTTTTTATCGTAACTTTTCGTAAACGGTCGCAACCGTTTAGTTAAGCCATTGCAAAATTTAGTTTATTTCACGAACAAATGAAACTCTTGGTTTATTTATTAAACCGTTATAATATTTAATTATCTACAGTCACGTCTATTGGTGTAACTTTTTATAAACTATTAGTATTTAGTTTTAGTTACTAAATTTATTTAAATAAAATTGTAACCGTTTAATTGAACCGTTGCAATATTTGGTTTATTTGACAAATTATTACAACTTTTGGTTTTGTTTTATGACCGTTATAATCTTTGTTTATTTGACGAATTGTTGTAACATTTGGTATATTTGACAAACGATTGCAACTTTTGATGAACCGTTGTAACCTTTGGTTTATTTGATGGACTGTTATAATATTTGATATATTTGATTAATTAATACAACTCTAGGTATATTTGATGAACCGTTGTAACATTGCCTTTTGTAATACATTTTTTAATGCATTAACCAAAGTTTTTTTTTTAACAAAACATTAGCTAAAGTTATAATATTCATTTAGAGTATATTTTGTCACCATGTTTTTCATCACAAACACTCGGTTCTAATAATTATGTCTTTTACAAACAATTTTTTCTATTTAAACTTTCATGTCTTTGTAACTCTATATATATATATATATATATATATATAAAGTGGTTTAAATTTATTATTTCTTATTGTTTAATATTTTTCATAGAAAATTATATTTTGCTATTCATGTCTATACTTTATCATCTATATCATTATTATTTTTCTCTAAATAATTATCTATCTTGGTTATTTGTTAAATTTTCCGAAGATTGTCTCTTTTTAACATAATACAATTTAAAATATTACATCTTTTTATCGTAATATTTTGATGAATATATTTATAATAGTTTAGAAAATTAAAAAATTGCATCTACTCATTATAACTCTTTGTTCATTATTTGTTATTTATGATCGCATCTTTTCACCATAATATTTTCTAATAATAATAAAAAATCTTAGAAAATGTTTTTAAGGGTTTACGTCTCTTTATCATATTGTTTTGTAAAATATTTCTTTATTTATTGTTAAAAAATTATTTTGAAACTTTTTGTCTCAATTCATTAGATATTTTTTTCTTTAAATTTTTTGGAAAAATCTTTTCCCCCGCGATATCGCGAAGGGTCTAAGTCGTAGTGACAATTAATAATATTGCAAGAACCCAACCTATTATTTCCAAATTTGAAAGCAATCTACGTTAATAATGTTAAGATTGATTTAGAGAGAACTAAAGTTAAATATATTTAGATTCAAATGTTATACTCATCATTCAAAAAAAAAAAAAAAAATTGCACCATTTATTAAAAATGTTGTTTCACCCACTTAAGATTGGTTTCATATCATTCGATCCACACTAACCACATTTATTTTTCTGCATGCTCCATCACAACCATATTTGTTTCGATTCCATCTGGTCTCTACTACATTCTGCATTTGCTCATTTTGATGTAGGAGGAACACAACTATATCTTGATAGAACGGTTGGAACAAACGTAACAGGAAATCTTCAAGCAGAATGACCGAAACATCAAGGATTAATTCCCTTCTAGCTAGGATTAATTCCCTCGACAATCTGTTCTCTCAATTGTTCACATATATGGAGTTGTATCCTTTCATCTGTTTGTATTATTATTTTTCGATATTTTGTGATAAATTAGTTTTGCCGATTTGATGTATATAAAAGTTTTTCATTGGTAATTATAATTCACATTTTTCCCCCAAAATTGCGATGACTTATTAGAAGTAAATATTGGACAAGGGCACAACTTGTTGTAGCAGTCATGGGATCAAATTATGGACACGCTTTCTTGGTCCTCTAACACTCTAACACGTAAGTGGCATGCCGTTTTAAACGAAACTATTATTGTACCAAAGAAACTTTTCTGTGATTTGTTTGTTTAACAAAAACCCTAAAAATACTCAAAAAGCAAAACAAAACCCTAAAAATAGGAATCGAATACACAATCGATTTTTTTTTTCTTTCTCTTTTGTTAAAAGCGACTTTAATCGTCTTTCTCCACCAAGTTCTCCTGTCGAATTTTCCAGATCGATTATGCAAATCTTAAGTAACTGAATAAATTCCTTGGTTTTGACGTGACAAAAGGTGTAATTTGCTTCGAAATATTTTGATCTCTTTTTTATTTTCTTTTGATGATATTTCTCTCTGTAAGCAATTGCCAATTTATAGAAAAGTAGTAATAGGATTATTGTCTTTTGGGACGTACTAATCAAATTCATTCAAAATTTGCAATGTTTTCCAATATAAATCTGTTACTATTTGTTGTTTGCCTTCCCTAACTTGTTCTTTCTTCAAGGAGGGAATTTACTAGAAAACAACTGATTTATTTACTCAATTGGAAAGTATCTCATATTGATATATATAAGTATTGCAGCCTAAGATTGAGATTTGTGTATTATGCAAGAAGATGAAGTTTGGAGAGACGTTTACGGAATATCTACATGGAGAAGAGGAGTGGTTCCTAGAAAAATGTCGTCATGTAGAATACAAGAAACTCAAGAAAGTGTTGAAGAAATGCAAGACATGTAACTCCACAAGATCTAATGATGAACACATTGTCTCATCGGCTACTTCTTTGTCTGATTCATGCCAATGCCAATCTTGCTCTTGTATGTATATCTTTTCTCCCTTATTTTCCTTCTAGTCTTCACACTTAAATAGATGATAACCAATTGAAAATGAGTTGATAAGTATGTCTTTTTATATTCCGATGTTGAATGTTCCCCTCAAGATGATGGTTTTCCGACCTATCTTAAAGTGACTCCCACTTTAGGATCAGAAAACATTTGGTTTCCCTACTTAGGTTAAAATCGGGCTCTAATACCATGCTAAGTTTTATGCTTTCTGATTCAAATTATTAATATCTCATATATCTTACTTTAGGTACGTATATTCTATTTATTTTTGATGTGGGATCCTAATTAACAGGATAATCAAAATGTTTTTTTGATGTGAACTTGTCTAGTTGGTGAGTGTATTTTTTCTTTATTCAAGATAAGGTGGTTGATGTTAATGATGGTGTTACAATTCAGGGTGTGATGAGATGTTCTTTGCGGAGCTGATGAAGGAAGTTTCTGACATAGCGGGATGCTTCAGGTCAAGAGTGAGGCATCTTCTCCATCTTCATGTAGCCACTGGGATGCAGAGATACATGATGAGTCTACGCAGATGCTTCACGGATGAAAAACAAGCTTTACTCCAAGAGGGCCAATTCTTGATTCAGTACATCACCATGAATGCGATTGCCATCCGTAAAATCCTCAAGAAATATGACAAGGTTAGAGAATCTATTGCATGTGAAGAAATATTGCAACCTCATTAAACCTATTGAAAATGTTTTCAGGTGCATAGCTCAGTGAATGGTAAGAAATTCAAGTTGAAAATGCGAGCGGAGCGCATAGAGCTTTTGCACTCACCTTGGCTCATAGAACTTGGAGCCTTTTATATCAATACTGGACTTGACAAAGTTGGAAACTTCAAGAACTCGTTTGGCCGCGTCTCCTGTGATTATCTCAACGACGATCAGCCTATGATGCAACTCATGCTGCCTAATTCAATAGAGCTCGAGTTTGATCTAACTTGCGCAATCTGCCTCGTAACAGAACTTACTCTGCCTTCTACATAGAAAAATGTGGTTTACTTATTTAAATCATTTCTCTAAGGAGGTGAAGAGTAATAATTTGTTGTGGATTAATTGGACAGGAAACGGTATTCAATCCCTACGCTTTAAAGTGCGGTCACATATTTTGTAAAGCATGTGCGTGCTCGGCTGCTTCTGTAATGATCTTCCAAGGGATTAAAGCAGCACCAAAAAATTCAAAATGTCCTATCTGCAGAGAGGTTTGTTTAGATTCTTGCAACATTAAACATTTTCTTCAAGTTTTGTTACCATTAGCTATAAATGAGGTCGATCTTGATTGTATCTTGTGGTAGGTTGGAGTTTACGCAGAAGCAGTTCACATGATTGAGCTGCATCTTCTCTTAAAGATAAGGTGAGACAAATCTCAAATTTTAGATGGCACCAAATCAGTATATGTATGTCCATAAATTTTAAACTGATTATGATATATACCTGACAAAATGATGTTTTCATTAGTTACTAGAAAATGAAGTTTTGATCGAATTTTTGTACTTCAAATTACTAAAAAGGCTAAAGGTTTGGATTCGTTATAAGTTAGTCTCTCATAATTATCTATATTTCCTCTTGTGGTGGTATAGATTGTTCAAAATATATTCATGGAAATCAAATGTTGCAAGAATTATTGATGAGATATATAATGAAGCATCATTTTTTATTTTGTAGAAGCAAAGAGTATTGGAAGGAGAGGATGATGGGTGAACGGTCTGAGATGGTGAAGCAGTCTAAGATGTTTTGGAACGAACAGACGAAGCATATGATCGGTTACTAAGTGTTGGTTTCTTCAGTTATTATCTTCTTTCAAAAAAAAAAAAGTGATGACCAAAAAAAAAAGAAAAAGGAAATATCTATACGTTATTTATTTCTGCCATTCCCTAGATGATACTGAATCTACTGATTCGATTAAAAAAAAATGTCAACAGTAGGAGATTTGTTTTTTTTTTTCTATGGTGATGCACAAATCAAGTTATGCGTGAATACTTTTATGTTTAAGCTGTGTTTTTTTTTTTTTTAATTGTTTAAGATGTTATTATTGCTTATTCATTACTAATCAATTTTCCAAACATGCGGGGATTTACAATAAATGTTTATATTACTTGATGAATTTCAATTTTTATGAAATCATTGTTACACAAAGCCTATATATCTATTTAAATTTTATCGTTACAGAGTATAGCTATTACTTAATTAAAACTTTTTTAAAATAAGGAATTTCTAAATGATGGAGATCAAAATAAGAATGGTAAAGATGACGATCAAAATAAGGATTTAGACCACCATTAACAAGGGTATCTTAAAGAGTTTTTAAATAAGAAATGTGGCTTAGCTAAGACCCAAAACTAAGAAAAGCGGCTTAACTAAGACCCAAAACTAATAGTTCTTAACTTTAATACTTCTAAGAACCATTTTTAAGATACCATTGTTAATCATGCTCTTAGGAACTACCTAATATGAAACTGTTGTTGCAAGAAATGGCTATGTGGACTGTTGGAACCTTACCAACAGCCGAGAAGAGACTTAAAAAAATTACATTTAAAAAAAATCTTAAACACACATTTCCATAACTCACTTACAAATCATTTTTTCAAAACTAATGTTTCTGCAAATATTTTGATTAGATATCTTTTTCTTCAATCAAACTAATTAATTTACAAGTCTTTGCACTTCTTTTCCTATAATAAAATCACTCAACGTTATATATTGATTTTTTTTTTAATTAATTGTAAAAGATAAAAAGAAAACATTTGAAAAAAGTGAGTCCTCTTCTAAAATTGGGCTCTGTAAAAACTTTCCATATTTTCACGTAAAAATGGACGGCCATGCCATAGTCCTTTCCTTATTCTCTCTCGTTCCTTCTTCCCCTCCTCTGATCATCAGCTCATCAGATCTTCTCCGAATCAAATCATTTGACCAAATTTTACAATCCCAATACGTTTCTAGACAATTTCCTTTTCGGAAAACGTGCATAAGAAGGTAGCTTCCGAGCCAGTAGGTGGTCAATTCATTATCTCAGGTTTTCTCCAAGCTGTGTCGATTTTGAAGACATAGCAAAATTCGTTATGAATTCATCATTTACGTTGATGACGCTAATGAGTGGTTCGTGTTTTCATTGTCGGAGAGGTGATAGATAATCTCAAACAGAGAGAAGCAAAAAAAAAGCAATATTAGGTTTTGTGATTTTAGGTTAAAATTTTTTGAATGGGAAACACATGCGTGGGTCCGAATCTGAACCCTAATGGATTCCTTCAATCCGTTAGTGCTGCTGTGTGGCGGAATCAGAAACCAGACGATAGCCTTAAGAGCAGCAAAGATGAGAGCAGTCGAAAAAAGAACGATAAGAGCGTTAATGGCGACGATAGTAACCCTCACGTTTCCTCCACCGTGGATCCAGCACCACCCACGTTGCCAACACCAAGCACGCCACCACCTCAGGTGAAAATGGCCAACGAAGAACCACCACCAAAACCTATCCCAGAGAACAAAATCGTCGAAGAAGATGCAAATTCAAAGCCACAGAAGAAAGAAGCCCACATGAAACGTATGGCAAGCGCAGGTCTACAAATAGACTCAGTTCTTGGGAGAAAAACAGAGAATCTCAAAGATATATACAGTGTTGGGAGAAAATTAGGTCAAGGACAATTTGGAACAACGTTTCTTTGCGTGGATAAGAAGACAGGTAAAGAATTCGCTTGCAAAACGATAGCTAAGAGGAAACTAACAACACCTGAGGATGTTGAAGATGTGAGAAGAGAGATTCAGATAATGCATCATTTGTCTGGTCATCCAAACGTGATTCAGATAGTTGGTGCGTATGAAGATGCAGTAGCTGTTCATGTTGTGATGGAGATTTGTGCAGGTGGAGAGTTATTTGATAGGATTATACAGAGAGGACATTATACTGAGAAAAAAGCTGCTGAGCTTGCTAGGATCATTGTTGGTGTTATAGAAGCTTGTCATTCTTTAGGTGTGATGCACCGTGATCTTAAGCCTGAGAATTTCTTGTTTGTTAGTGGAGATGAAGAAGCTGCTCTCAAGACTATTGATTTTGGTCTCTCTGTCTTCTTTAAACCAGGTATACATATTGTACAGAGTGAGGAGGATCAATAGGGTCTTTTCTTGACAATATATATGTTGTGATTACAGGAGAAACATTCACTGATGTAGTTGGGAGTCCTTATTATGTGGCACCAGAAGTTTTAAGGAAACATTATAGTCATGAATGTGATGTTTGGAGTGCTGGAGTTATTATATACATTTTACTAAGTGGTGTTCCTCCGTTTTGGGATGGTAAGAGACAGTTTTTGATTCATGTTTCAATGGTAGAGTTTGATTGAATTTGTTATATGTCAGAAACGGAACAGGGGATCTTTGAGCAGGTTTTGAAAGGTGACCTTGATTTTATATCAGAACCATGGCCTAGTGTATCAGAAAGTGCTAAAGATTTGGTCCGTCGGATGCTAATCAGAGACCCTAAGAAGCGAATGACTGCTCATGAAGTTCTCTGTTAGTGCTCTGCTTTCCATATTTGAATCAAAAAGAGCAAGGATAGAGCTAACTTTATAGATTTCTTAAACGTTAATTTATGTTTCAGGTCATCCTTGGGCCAGAGTAGATGGTGTTGCTCTTGATAAACCTCTTGATTCTGCTGTCCTTAGTCGTTTGCAACAGTTTTCAGCCATGAACAAGCTCAAGAAAATTGCTATCAAGGTAAACATTTTAAATTGGTTTCTATCATCTATACCAGATTATGCGCAAGATAGAGAGAGTTATACGTGATGTATTTGATTCAGGTAATAGCAGAGAGCTTGTCAGAGGAAGAGATAGCAGGATTGAAGGAAATGTTCAAGATGATAGATACAGACAATAGTGGACACATCACTCTAGAAGAACTCAAGAAAGGTTTAGACAGAGTTGGTGCTGACCTTAAAGATTCAGAAATATTAGGATTAATGCAGGCAGTAAGTCCATTTTTTATACTTAATCACCTTTTGTTTACTAAATGATATGAGATGTGTCAGATAATAATTTGGAAAATTAAACAATTGATCAGGCGGATATAGATAACAGTGGGACTATAGACTATGGAGAGTTTATAGCAGCGATGGTGCATTTGAACAAAATAGAGAAAGAAGACCATTTGTTCACAGCATTCTCTTATTTTGACCAAGATGGAAGTGGTTATATAACCAGAGACGAGCTCCAACAAGCTTGCAAGCAATTTGGCTTAGCGGATGTTCATTTGGACGACATTTTACGCGAAGTCGATAAGGACAACGTAAAATTGATTTAATCTGCATTTGCTATCCTTTTTCTATAGTTACTTGCATGCACATTGTTGTTTAATGGTGTTATATGGTTAATTTTGTCAGGATGGAAGAATAGATTACAGCGAGTTCGTGGATATGATGCAAGACACTGGTTTTGGCAAAATGGGTCTAAAGGTGAGTTGAAGAAACAAAACCTTAATGACCCCAATTTTCCACCACTTCTTTTTTTCTTTCTTTTTTGAGTATAACTAATTTAATTTTTGTGGATATATGTATGTGTATGGGCTGCTTAATTACTGCTTAGCATTAGCATTGAGCAGGTTTTTGTCCTCTATGTTCCGCATTTTTTTGTATTTAAGTTTCTCTGAGTCATGTCCTGTTACTCTCCCTTTTGTCAACTAGGAGAAAAGTTGTATAGGTTTCACTTTGGAAGATAACCAGAGATTGTATTTTCATTTTTCTTATATTTTTAGTAGGTCAATGTAAAACTCTAGAAATGATTGAAACTGTCAATGTAATATGTTTCATGTTATTTTCATTCCATCAAGTTAGATATTTTTTCGTTGCACAATATCGATTTTAATATGTAAATCTAGTGAGTGATAAATTATTAATCTTTTCAAAATAAAACTAAGGCCATCTACATTGGTTATGTTTTCGTGAGTTTCTTTAATTTTTTTAATAATTAAATTTAATATGATTTGGTGATGGGTGTCTTTAAAATATGTGAAAAATGTCTAAAATATTTACTTAGGGACACTTTCACAATTTTTAAAGACACTCAATAATAAATCACATTAAAATTAATTATTAAAAAATTTAAAGACATTTACCCAAAAAATAATAAATGGTCTAAAAGTTCTTTAAAAAGAGGGTATGGAAGCAGTTTAAAATATCTGTCAGATCCCGTGGAATTAGTGGAAGCAGTTTTGAAGTAAAGCAGTTTGTTTGACGTGTTCATCGCTACGAATGCGTCTCCACGTGTCACGTGATACACTGCAAGCAGTACACGTGTCAAACACCCACCTCTTCTTTTACTTCTTAACCAACTTCACACCACTTCTCTTCTGTCCACAAAAAACCTCTCTTTCTCTCTCTTTCTCTTCTTCTCCAAAACATCAACAATGGGATCAGAAACTTTCTTAGAAATTATTCTGGCGATTCTTCTACCTCCCGTCGGCGTTTTCCTCCGATATGGTTGTGGGGTAAGCACTAAATTACATCTTTATTACCTAGTTTTATAATTAATGAATGAATCGTTAATTTGATTATTGATAATTAATGTCTTAATTATGAATGCAGGTAGAGTTCTGGATCTGTCTGTTGTTGACGATACTGGGTTACATTCCTGGGATCATCTATGCTATCTACGTTCTTGTTGGATGATGACCAAATTCTCTTCTTGTAAATTTTTCATAATCTTTATCTAGCCTTTGTTGTTTCCTCATCACTCTTGTAATAAACAACTCTTGCCTTTTCACTAAATAAATACTATTTATGCTTAGTTTCTATATCTCTAGGGCTGCCAAAATATACTCCGCAGTTAAACCATGTATATAGAAGAAAAAAAAACTCGGTTTTATATGATCGGACACCACAACCATTACAGCAATTCAAACGATAGATATATCACATTCTATATAGTTTATTTTATTAGTACAACGCATGCATAGTAAATTAGTAATTGTGGTCAATATACATTGTCTAGCCGGCGGTTGGGTTTTTGACGACGAGACGGCTTTCATTAACCCACACCCTAACGCGGTCGCACCTGAGGTCCGGAGTCACCGGAGTTCCAACCAAAATCACGTTAACTTGAAGGCTCGAGTTCTCTCCTTTTATCACCGAAGCCGCATAGTCTCCATTTGTTCCCAAAAGCTCCGGCCATGAGTTCTTCCCTGTGTGCGGTCAAAGCAACCACATTAGATTGATAAATCATTTGGATTTGGCAGTATAGAGATCAATGGATCCATCGATTGGTTGTTATGGAATCAAACAATTAATATGCATATATCCTTATTCCGTAATAATACTATATATGCCTCCCAGCTCAGATATCGGTATTTGGGTCAAATATTAGTTATCACTTAAAACAGTGTAGAAATTTAGAAACCGATGTTAGAAAAAGAGACTCCAAAATCCAAACTCTTAATTTTCCTCAAGATGTACGGTGAAACTCCACATGCAAGAAAATTGCAGTAAGTAAAAATCTAAATGACTTGAAGCCATATATGTACGAAACATATAGATAATACATATAATCGACTTGACGTTGAACGAAAAAGAAATGATGAAAGAAATCAATTCAGGGCGGTGGCAATATATATCAAATTATGAAAAAATATAGTAATTGAGGTGAAAGAAAAACCAATATAAGGACACCACTGGGTTGCCATTTTTCTTTCTCTTTTGTTTATGTATACTTGCAATGATGTTTGCTATGCTTGTCCTCAGGAATTTGCGTCCAATTTATAGAATAAGTAGGATGTATGCAGATGATGAACCGTCGATGGGTGGTGTCCTTTGAATTAGGTGTACTATATTTTCTTTGTTATAAATAGCACGTGCATGGTGTAAAAAGGAGCGGTTCGTCAACTTAATTAGTAGAACATTAGCTTAAGAAAATTTTAATGAAAAAAACTTTAGCTTAGGAACATTGGATTGACTTACTAAATATTTCTAACGAATGAATTAATTATATACTATCTCGAGTAACATGTTATAAAGGTATTTTAGGAGGGGTTATTGGTTCATAGATTTATATGGAATTAGAAATCCAAACAAAAATCATTTGTTATTCAATCATTGATTTTAAAATCCTAATTAAATTCATGTGTTATTGGTTCTATGATTTATAAATACTAGTTAAAATCTTATGTTATTCGTTTAGTCATTTGTTTTTGGATTTGAGAATCCAAATTATGTTTAAAATGGAATTGAATGGAATTGAAAGAGAAAAATAGAAGGATTCAAATCCATGGGTAAACACATGTTATTTCAAAATCCATATATCTTGATTTCATAATTAATAGAAATTTTCAAATTCTATATGGATTTACAAATTAACAAACTAATAACACCCCCTAATTAGTATTTTAAAAATTCAACAGTATGTTTATTTTTTGGAGCATCTCCTTGTTAGAACCCTCATCATGAGTTCTTACCAATATTTTTGATATAAATTTTGCATAATTAAAAGTTAAGAACTTTATTAAGAGTTCTTAATTTTATCTTCCGCCAACTTGGAGTTCTCAAGAATAAATAATAAATTATTTTATTTTTTAAGTTTAATTTATTTTGTTTTAATTTATAAACATACTATAATTTATAAAACTTAAAATATATATTGCATTTCATAAAATTTTAAACAAACATGACAAAAAAAACATATAAAAATAGATGTGCCAATTATCATCAACGGAAAAACAATTAGTTGTAATCTCGAAATATATAAAAAGGGTATATATGTTGCATCTTCACTGTAATAATCGTTCCATAAGCGGTTGTGTCCTTGTTCACAATCTCTCTCAGTATGAACTCGTTTCTTCTTCGACTTGGTTGCCTCCTGACGATCACCATAATCAACGAAATGATTCTCGAATGCTTGATCCAAAACTAGATCAAATTTTTCATCCATTGTTTCGTCGAAAAATTGATCAAATTTTTCATTCATTGTTTCGTAGAAAGTATTACGGGAAGAAGATGCTATTTTTTTGTGTTTTATATTTTTCTAACAAAATAAAGAAAAAAAAATACAAGGAACAAGTATTTGGGGAGATGGAGAAAAAGAAGATACGAAGAGAAGTCTTGGTTTTGTGTTGCATGATATATAGCATAATGTTTGTGTGATAGTTTGTGAGATATATAGTGTAGGAAGTATGACAATCAATATTTGTGGTGTACAATCATTCAAAATAATTATTTGTGGTGTCATCTTCTTGTACTTGTCATCTCATGCAAAATGAACAGAAGCAAAATGAATACAAGTAAATAACCGACCAACCAGAGACATTAACCAAATCCCATTTATTGTTTCATTTGTATCATCATGTTTTGCTACATATTGACACTTTCATCTCAGACAATCCAATATACAAAGTAACAAGAGGCCAAGAAAGATCTCAAAAAGAGCTTTCACCTCTTCAAAACGAGACTCTTTGAATGATTGGTTTCCCTTCTCCACAAGTTGAAAAACCTGATTGTGAATATCTAAAGGTAACAAATTGGGCTTAGAACTAATTAAACCCACCATTGGAGGTGGTCTCATTAATTCAGAATTTATTGACTGAGACTAATTGACACCACAAAAAAATCATGTTCGGTTCGTTTTCATTTTCAGCTCCGACTTTTAGAACATGCCTTTTTTGGGACAGTTGACTACTACAACCAAAGATATAAAAAAGAGAGACAGTTGACTTATCCAACAAGGAACACCGGCTAAACATGCAAACGAGTCCTTGTATCGCATCCAATACTAAAATAAATCATTGATCGTTTTTCACTTTCGCATCTTGCGTTGCCCCAGAATGCTGCGGTTTTCTGGTGTAGAAGAAGAAGTCTCAAGTTTGGAATTGTGTCTTCTTCTTCTGTTTGCTTCAACAGCATTTGGTTCTCTGTTTTCTTTCTCTCCGTTCTCGTGCTGTAACGAAAGTTAGCTTTTTTATTCATCATCACAAGACTTACATTACGAGATATTTGCTACGTTCAATTAAACGTAATTCTTTGGAAGCATACCGAGTCGAAAAAACTCATCTTTGGAAGTGGTAACCTCAGACCAGAGGAGGATGATGTCAAATCCTTGAATGCGTAACTTGAATAAGATGACCTTATGTTAGACTTTGATCCAGATTGTTCTTCAAACCCATGATTCTTGTGTTTTCCCCTAGTTTTTCCTTCAAAATCAAACAAAAGGATACACAAATTTTAAGGGTATTGATTTTTTCTCGTGTTAAAAAAAAAGAAGAAGATGAATCATGTTCTCACCGAGTTCACTCGCAACACATTTCTTCTCGCGGGTAGCTTGACAAGGAGTCAAAGGTTTGGAGATGGTGAATGAAGAAGAAGAAGAAGAAGAAGACACTTTTGGTTGAGGAATGAGACTCAAAGGTTGATCTTTCTGTTTGGACCCTTTAGTCCTCTTTGACAAACAAAATCAGAATATGTTAAGATGAAAGAAAATGATTGATTCTGAGAGAAATAAAATTTCCTCAGGGCTTCTTGTTTTACCTTTTTACCATCTGGTAACTTACGCTGGCTCTCTCGAGTCACTGTCTGCTTCACATTCGGTGAATTACGTAAAGAGGCTCTCAACTCGTGAAACAGATCAAATTCAATGCTCGCTACAGAAAATCTGCTTCCTTGAGTTGTCGTCGTCATCGAATCTGCAGACTTACGAAGCTTTGTGTTACTGGTGAAGCCATTGTTCATAAGAGACAACTCCTCAGCATCAAGAACACCTTAGCATAAATAGGCAATGTCAGCCAAGAATATACAGAGTCGAAGCTAAATTATAAGGTTTGATTGTTATATGAGATGAATAGTGGAATAGTGAAATAATTGACTAATCAAGTAGCGTAAAGAATATGATGAACACGTTTTAAAATGTGAAAACCACATAGTTGAAGTAAAAAGATGAGACCTGGATCGGTAAAAAAAGCATTGTCCCAAGCAAAACTTGGACGAGCATCGGTTTCCGAAGGAAGTGTCTTGATTGTGTGCTTATGATTTACTTCAACATCAGTCTCATTCTCGTCAATCTTTAAGCTCCCAAATAATTCTTCAGGATCTAACACTCCTTTAACCAAAATTGTAAAATCATTGGAATGTTATAATGTAAACTACATTATTTCTTCAAAAAACCAATTTTGGGAAATAGAGAAGAAACCAGGGTTGGTGAAAAAAGCAGTGTCCCAGGCCAAGCTTTTGCGATGATTCCTTTTACTCTCTTTATCTTTCATCTGCTGCACAAAGTCAATCTTTACTCTTGCTGCTGCGCCAAGTGAGAAAGAGTATTCCACAAGTATAATCAGTTTCTGAAAAGTAAAGAGATTTTAGATACTGAGGGGAAACAAAGGAAGATGATTGTACTCGATGATGAACCAGCTTCTTGAAATTCCATATAGTCTCTTCTTGATTTTGAACAACAGAATTTTGAAATTGGAAAAACAAAGGCCTTTATTACCATAAGAGAATTTATGGAGAGACGAAATTTTGAAAAACATTGTAAATGGTTTTCGTGATTTTAGCATTTGATTACTCTCTCAAAGCTTTTCAATTCAAAGCAAAATTAATTGCATGCGGTTATATTATTTTGTAAGTGTATATTTGAAACAAATCAACTACCTTAAATGTATTTGTCTATGCACAAACACATATTTAATTTAAGGATTTTGTATAAAAATGATACTTTAAATATAGCTATGAAATAACATTTTTTAACATTTTCCGAAAGTAAATCGAAAATAAGAGCGAACAGACCGTGGACAAATTTTTCCTTCATTCAAATTTCAAAGTGTTCTCAAATCTAACAGAGAAATCTTTAAATACAACCAACTAAACCGGAAATAGAAAACCAAAAGTCCAAACTAACATAACCGAAATTGAGAGTAAACCCGAAATAGTTGTCGATCAGCTCAACTATAAACAACTCACTGATCTCTAATTTCCCCTGCACAATTTTAGAGAATTTCACGTTAGAGAAACAATTTTGAATCTAGCCACGGCTAATTCATACAACACGGTATTAATTAAAGATTAGCAAGTAAAAGTTTAATTTTAAACTTAATGCTTTTAAACAAGGCATGTCCTACTAGCATCAGTTGTAACAAGTGAAGGTTGGATAAGAACCTACATGCATATAGACTATGCTCTTCATTTGTGTACATGAGGCTGTGTATTAGAGAGAAGAATTACTTGATCATTTGGCCTTGTTCTTGATCACTACTTCTTTCACCAGCTCTGTGATTGAATCAAAATGATGAAGTCAGAGCTAAGAACAATATAAGGCTGTATAGCATTGGTACTATCAACTACACTTGTCAAAATCATACCGGCATTTCTTCACCAGAAACACCTCCACCTGCATCTCTATTAGATCCATCTCCGCTCTTTCCTGATCCCTTATTATCACCCTGTCATAATTTCACAACAAAACGTAAGAAGCCAATGGGCAACACTGAAATGGAATATAAAGTAGGAAATAAGTATGTGGTTTATTTACCTCCAACTGCATCAGCAGGTGGTGTGTCAGCAACCAAACCAAGGGAATGAAAAGAACCAAATTAGTCTCACGTAATAAGAAACATTTTGATTTATTATGTATGTTAACAACAAAAGCATAAAAGAGAGAGCAATAAATGTCTTTCAAAATTTAAGACTACACAATATGCATCCTGAGTGTTGGTCTAGAATTCTCTTTCTTGCTTCAAGAATTATATATGGGAAAGATAGTCAACACAGAATGTAGTGAAGAGAATTGTAAAAACTGCTATCATGGCGAGCTTCGATGTTACTCTCAACAACTAATGTGTTGACTAGGATATTAAGGATTTCAGAACACATGATTAAGGAGTCAAAGCAACATACCTCCCTGTACCTCGCTAGATATATCTTTAGAGGTTCCAGGTAATCCTCAAATCCTAATGTTGCCATTGCCCATAACAAATCATCACCATTCACAGTTTTCCTTTTCTCTTTTTGACACTTATCACTGGCCCTGATTAGCAGAAAAATTCACAGTGGTCATTAGAGATACAACAGATACCAGTCAATTGGCCATTACAGTCAACGAATCAACATAAGACCAGCTAAAGAGCCCTAACAGCAACAACAGACAAGCTTATCTAGGACCAACAGATAAATCATAGTTGCATACATCATAACTTATTTTTTCCAAACAAAGAATGGGACATCTCATGTTATAAGAAACAGAAAATTCATCAATCGGAGACCTAAAACGCAATCAACACACGCAATTCCTGCATGATCAAAAACATACCTTTTGCCTTAAATGAACAAAAACAAACAGATCCGAAAGATAAAAGAATCTTTGAACAAGATCAAGATGCGGTTTTTTTACTCAATATATGCCTAAGATGGTTAAATGAAGGAAAAAATCTAACAATTTATTTGACAGGAGTTAAGATATATCATAGTAGAAGCATGTGAAATAATCTGCAAAATGGTCCATAGGAAAGCAAGTACCTTCAGTTAAACCCATACCTAAACTAACAATGGTTGATTAACATTGTGAAAAAAAACATCATCTTTGCTCTAAAACTTCATAAGACTCTTTGAGCTAAACTCAATCCATAGCTAGCTTAAGGAAACTATATCTCACAACATATCCAAAGCTCCATCAATATTTTCACCAAAAAGCTAAATCATTCCAAAACTGGTAATACAAATTCGATTAAAAAAAAGAAAACTTGGGAACACATACTCGCTAGTGATGAAGCTGATGAACTCAGAAACACATTCCTGAACAGTATCCTTAGCATCTTTACCAATCTTTCCATTAGGAGGCAACGCTTTCTTCATGATCCTGCTGATATTAGCTATAGGAAGGTATCGATCCTGCTCCCTAACGGAGCCGCCGCTTTCTCCGCCATCTCCGGCCGGGCTCGAAGGCGTATCCGCCATTAAACTCTGCAGGAACAGAAGAAACACTCAAGTCATCGTTTGAATTCGAGACATGGTCGACGAATCAAAAAGTAAATCGAAAATGGCGTATAGATTGGAGAAAGTGGGAGAAACCCTAGAAGTTGAAATTGGGGATAGTCGTTTAGTTTTAGGGCTTTAGAGAAATCGAATTTTTCTACGAAACGCAGCTTTTTGTTCGACTGCTGTATATATGATATGAATTACACGTTTTCTTGCATTTGTTCTTATTAGTTTTTGTAAAGTTTTTAAAGTAGGATTAATTTGGTAATTAACAAGATAATTTAAGAAAACTATATGAACAATTTGACAAAGGGGGACAATGTGGGTTTAAATAAAGGGTCTAAGGAACATATTTTTTAGGGTGAACGACCTGTGTCCTCCCCACGAAGTTTCATATAGTACCATAACAACACAGATTTTGGGTCTCGTCTCCAGTCCACACAAAACGAAAGTTAAACTCCAATTTTTCCCTAAATTGAAAGTTCGAGACCTCAGTCTCCATAAATTCAAATTTCGTGGTTTATCATTGGTTCACTGTGCTGAACCCGATGCCAAACCAAAACCCAGAATAATAAACCGACCAAAACCCAGAATAATAAACTGGATAATAAACCATCCTCCTCTCTCTCTCTACCTTCTTCACCATCTTCAATTTTAACAATCAAAAGCAAACCAAAAGCTAAGCATTCCCAAATACCAATCAAATTCACAGATTCACAAGTAATTCCAAGGTAAGGAATCTTCAAATTCACAACTGAGTCGGAGTTAATCAATCAAAAATGTTATCTTTTGAAGTATAAACGACTGTGACTGTCTCACATTGACTAACTCAGAACCCTTTTGATTTATGAGCTTGCTCCACTCATCTTCTCTCTCCTTCCCCAACGAAATATTCTCAAAGGTTCCACAGACAGAACCAGAAACAATTGATTTCAGCAGACCTAAAGCAAGAAGCTTGTACAAGGGATAATCAGGAACACCTCCAAATCGGTGTAGCAAAGCGTGGGAAGACGATTCGATTCGTTCACCGTCGAGAAGAATTGATTCGCCGCAAAGAAGGCCAAAGCAGAAATCATCGGTGAGCTCTAAATCGAATTCTACACGGCAATCTAGTGTGAATTTCACCATCTCCTCTAGGCAATCTCTCAGTCTATCCATTTTTTACTCAATCGGAGCAAAGTTCAAGACTTTTCTCGAAGACTCCATAGTGAAATCGTTCTGATTCTAAAAAAATGGTTCTTTTTTTTTCTGAACATGAGAAAGTTTGGTTTTTCCCAGCGACAAGGTTCGGCATCTGTATCATCTTAGGTTTCAAATCGGTTTATTATTCTGGGTTTTGGTTTGGCATCGGGTTCAGCACAGTAAACCAATGATAAACCACGAAAATTGAATTTATGGAGACTGAGGTCTCGAACTTTCAATTTAGGGGGAAACTAGAATTTAACTTTCGTTTTGTGTGGACTGGAGACGAGACCCGAAATCTGTGTTGTTATGGTACTATATGAAACTTCGTGGGGGTACACAGGTCGTTCACCCTATTTTTTAACTTATAAATCTTTAGTCTGGGCTTCTTACTGGATTTGGTTCTATTTAAATTGATTTGGGCCTTCGTTTGGAAAACTTGATTTAAGAGAATTTTGTGTAAAAAAATTATTTTTAGGGTTTTCTACAAAACATAAGTCAATTTTATTTGCAAATTTACCTTTTTAAGTTCGAATTATGCAAGTCAACCCCACGATCTAAAAAATCACCTGCAATATAGTCCTTCCGTATATCGATTTTCACATCATCGATATACAGAAAGGCTATATTGCAGGTTACTTTTGAGATTGTAGTTTGACCTGCATCTATTTGACATAGAGGATTTTCTTCCAAAAAAAAATTACATGGAGAGTTTTTTTGCAAAAATCTCTTATGTTTTCAAACGGAGTTATTGAGTGTCACGTCATCGTTATACGAGAGAGCAATATTGCGGGTGACTTTTGAGATTGTAGGGTTGACTTGCATAATTTGGACTTGGAGGTTAAACTTGCAAACGAAATTGACTTAGAGGGTTGTTTTACAGAAAACCCAAAAAAAAAAAATCTCATGCAATTTTGATAGGAAATCTTGTAATTCTTGTAAACATTATCAAGTTAATAAAATTGTTTTAGAAGATTTTAGAAGAAAAAAAAAAAAAAGATTTTAGAAGAAAAATAGAAGAAGTGCATATAGACATGTTGACATGTTGTAACTTGGAACATTGGACAGTGTAAACTATGAACATATATACTAAACTAAACCATAAACATTAAATCTTAATATTAACTATGATTAAGTTTTTAATGTTGTTCTTTGTCAAATTTATGTACGTTGTCAACATAATTGATTTTATGAAGGATGATTTCGTCATTTTCTCCGGCTAAGTGACAAATTTGCAGGTGATAGATTTGGCAAAAATTTGCATGCAAAACAGAATTAATCCAGTCGGCGAATTCGTAATATATATATATATTTTTTTGGTATCAATGTGAATTCGTAACATTATTTACACCTTCGTTTGTTTTTCAAATTTCGACATTATCTCAGCCTTAGAAACCTTATCTTTATCTCGATAAGGTTTGAATATCGATTATTGATATGAACTTTTCAAAGGTTTACGAAAAAACCATAAGTGTCAAAGCTTTTACCAAACAAATTAATAATGTCAAGGGAGGGGATCGTCAAAGTTTGACTTTTGAATCTGCAACCTCATCGACGACACCGACACCAATCCGTATCCGATTCTATATAAATGTGACTAAAATCCCTAAAGATGAGCATACAAATACATCACAACTACATAAATATATACAAGAGGGAAGAAAAATGTCGTCCGAATGTCCTAGTAAGTTTATTTATTTATTTTTTATTTTTTTTGTATAGTTCATAATTGATATGTTTGTAAATACTTAGCTAATGTTCGATTAGATATGGCTTCAAGGCAGTTTCGTAACTATATGATTACATTTCAATAACTACTTTATTGAGGTTAATTATGTTATGGTCAAGCCATGGTGATGCTTCAAATTCTTTTGTTTTCATATACCCAAATATGAGCTCATTGATCTCCAAATTAAATACCAAATGTAAATTATTAACGGGTCTAATTAACGTGACCGCAGGGAAGAACTCGTGGCCGGAGCTTAGGGGGACAAACGGTGACTATGCGGCGACGGTGATAGAGAGAGAGAACCCAACCGTCGATGCTGTCGTGATTTTGGATGGGAGTCCGGTGACCGCAGACTTCAGGTGCGACCGGGTCAGGGTTTTTGTTGATAGACACCGTATCGTCGTCAAAACCCCTACATCCGGCTAGACTTGTATAATTTATATATGCATAAAATAAGAAAGCTATAGACGATGCGTGGTTGGTTAGAAATCAGTCATGTAAAATAATTATCTTATGCTAAATAATTCCGGTGACCGTTCCCCGAACTTACATAAATAAATGAATGAAATTAGTATCTTACAGTGTTTAATATCTTTGTCGGCCAAATTTTTTTATTTAAGTTCAAAGAGCAAACATTACAAAAGAATTGAAGTCAAACAACCCTATATAAAACATTTTAAGTCCAAACGCTAAAGTCCATAAACAGAGTGGAATACGTTTCTAAGAAAAAAAAACACGTGTAGCACGTGTCGACAACGAAGGGTTGACGGGAGAAGGAGCACCGCCGACCTAGTCCTCCGCCGTGAAGCTCTTCCAGACAAGAATCAGGAAAATCAAAAGTTAAATTAGCAAGTAGTTAATTAATGGATAACGGACCATTTAAAAAAAAAGAAGTGAAAAGCAGACCTGCTTTGCTACCAAAATAAATAAATTAAAGCAGACCTTATGATATACAGTACAAATTTTGGAAAAAGTCAATACTGTAATTAACAGAATTTTACAATATTTTTTTAACCTAATAGACCGCTTAGTGACTAGTGTGATCATCTCGCATGAATTTTTCTACACACACTGACACACATCCCAGAAGCTCCCCATAGCCCAATCATTACACACAATAGTTTTCTGTTTTCCACAACCCAAGTGTCCTTGCACCAAACTCCCATGCATAGTCTAGGTTTTACGAGGCCCAAGCTTATGCATACATGCTCCTTGTAGCCAATATGCTCTAGAATCCTGACTCCACGAACATGAGATTCATGTAGCTCAAGTTCTCCATAGTCCAGGATTTCGTAAACAAAAGCTACATCATTCTTTAGATTTTCTGGATTAATCTAGCTTCCGAGAGACCGTACTCGATCGGAACGTTGTATACATACATGACGTTTTGTATTTAGCTTTCAAACAAAGTTAAAAATGTCAAATATCACAGTCAATCTACGAAAAGTATTATTTTACACCCGCCAAATGGATATATGGAAATATTCAACATGGCATACCATTTCAATGTCCATTTTTTCAAGTATCTACTATACATTTTTGCAGCAGTTTTTGGGGTACCCAAATCGGGTCAAATTTATTTAATTTTGACCCGGAAATCTTCAATCGGATCTTTCCTTAAATTTTGGCAAAATTAAAAAACGAAAATAATTAATAAAATCTAAAATATATATACTTTCTCAACTAATTACTATATTTAAACGCTTTATTTATGGTATATTCTCCACGATTTTTATAGATAAAGAAATCAAATATGATGATTTAATGCTAATATAACAAATTTGCACTAATTTCCTAAAACCTCTCTACCTAATTTAAACATAAATATATGATTCTTATTTCACTTTTATTTGATCTTATATTTATATTATTTTAAATTATTATAAAATATATAAATAGTTAGTAAATTTTAGTTTTTTTTTTCTGCATATGTTACAATTCAAATTTTTTAAAACAGACATATATTACTCAATCGATGAACAAAAATATGTGTGTAATCTATATTAACATTTTTAAGAACAAATTGAGCATTTAATCATGTCGTTATTTTATTCAGACCCGAAATTGAGTCATTCGGATCTTTCTTTAATTTTTATAATTATCTAAAATGGGACAGTATATCACGGGTGAAATCCTAATTAGTATTTTAAGATATAATTATAAATTATTTTTACGGGTTGGTCCAAAAACACACACTAATTTAAAAATATACATGGAAACTATTTGAAAGCAACTTTCAAATTAACTCGAATTATATGACATTTAAATAAAAGTGTTATTAAAAAAATAACAAAATGATGTTTAATTTCATTTTAGATTATATGGTTGGATGGGTTTGGGTCAATATTAATACGAGACAATATACCACATGTGAAATCCTATAAATAACAAATCAAAATACAATTATACAATCTTAAACACTAAACAAAACAAATACAACTTAAAATTTTTTATTTTAGATACAACGCATGTTACCCGCGGTATACAACAAAAAATATTATACACAATAAATTCATCAATTTATAAAAATAAAAAAATCAAATAATTAACCCGCGGTGTACCGCGGGTCATATCCTAGTATATAACAATTCAGCCACATATAGTAGTTAGCAGAAATTACATACCATTCAAAGTTATAGATAGTTATATATTTGTAATAAGGACTTTTCACCAGTTGGACTTTGAAACCACCAAAAAAAGTAGGTGAAAGTGAGTTGGTGGGGGGGATTCAAAAGTTCCACATGACAAATAGATAAATATGTATAAATAAGCTTAGTTCTTACATTTGGCTTATTCAATACACACAAACATTTACCAAAATGGCATCTGCGGTTCAGAAATCGGCATTGCTCTTATGCGGAGACTACATGGAAGCCTATGAAACGATTGTTCCTCTCTATGTTCTCCAATCGTTTGGCGTTAGCGTTCATTGCGTTTCACCCAACCGCACCGCCGGTAATCGCTGCGTTATGTCTGCCCACGATTTCTTGGGCCTCGAGGTTCCAAATTTTTCAACTATATGAATTTCGATTTTCGTTTTGTGAATCACTAAATTTTTTCTTTTTTAAAAAAAAAAAGCTATACACCGAGCTTGTAGTTGACCAGTTGACTTTAAACGCCAATTTCGATGACGTCACTCCGGAGAATTACGACGTCATCATCATCCCAGGAGGACGATTCACGGAGCTTCTCAGCGCCGACGAGAAATGCGTCGACCTCGTGTCACGATTCGCCGATTCCAAGAAGCTCATCTTCACAAGCTGCCACAGCCAGGTTATGCTGATGGCTGCCGGAATTCTCGCCGGTGGTGTGAAATGCACGGCGTTTGAAAGCATAAAGCCTCTGATTGAATTCTCCGGCGGAGAGTGGTGGCAACAGCCTGGGATTCAGAGCATGTTCGAGATCACCGATTGCGTTAAAGACGGGAATTTCGTAAGTACGGTTGGTTGGCCAACGCTTGGTCACGGTATTAAGGTTTTGCTCGAATCTCTTGGTGCCAAAGTCTCGAGCTTGAAGAAGAATCAAGCTTCTGTACTTTTCCTCATTGGGGTGAGTATTCAAATTTCAATTCCTAAGTAAAATGCGTAATCTTTAGTGATATCAATCTTGTTTTGATCATCAGACTCGTTGAGCATTACTTTGTGTATATGTTTGAGTCAAGTTTTGGTTTGTGTTGGCGTTTTAGGACTATGTAGAAGATTATGGGATCAATGTACCATTTAGAGCACTTCAAGCTTTAGGATGTAAAGTGGATGCTGTGACACCAAACAAGAAGAAGGGAGAAGTGTGTGCAACGGCGGTTTATGACCTCGAGGAAGGACGGCAGATTCCTGCAGAGAAGCGTGGACATAACTTCTTTGTGACTGCATCGTGGGATGATATATCTGTGGATGATTATGACTGTGTAGTGGTTCCAGGTGGGAGATCACCTGAGCTATTGGTGATGAATGAAAAGGCTGTTGCTTTGGTTGAGAAGTTTGCAGAGAAAGATAAGGTTTTTGCAGCTATGGGACAGGGGAAATTGCTTCTTGCAGCCACTGGTGTTCTTAAGGTAAAATCATTACTTGTCTTTTCTTTTGGGAGGTTATGAGCTATGTCAAAACAGAAAATGCACTTGGAGGAAATAGTATTGCAAACTTGTACTTAATGGGACAGTTTTTCGTGTAATGAATTGTGATTTCTTTGCATTGACTATAGAAAATGTGATATTGAGGATACAATGGTGATCCCAATGTTTAAATCAAGTCCAGCTTGTGGAATCTAGTAGCTAATCGTGTTCATGTGATGTTTCTCTTTATGAATTTGCAGGGGAAGCGATGCGCGAGTGGGAAAGGGATGAAGGTGATGGTGAAGGTGGCTGGAGGTGAGGCTGTGATGGGAAAGGGATGCGTAACTGATGGGAAGCTTGTGACGGCAGCATCAGCCACGGATCTGCCTGCCTTTTTGTCTGATTTATCAACTGCTCTTGGTCTAACTGTCATGTTCTAAGATTTTGCAACCAAAAACATAAAAGAGAGAGTTTGAGTAATAAAATCATATCTTCAATTTGCTCAATTGAAGTGAAAAGGAAAAACAAAAGAGCTCTATTGTAGTCTCTCTGCAGCTTTCATAAATTCATGACATTCCAAATAAACTATTTTGTAGATGCTTCTTGGAGATACAAGCATTTTAGTTATCAAGCTGATTGTTGTGGCACCTGATGTTCACGTGTCGCAATAGAGGCAGAAATTAAATGAGGAAAACGAATTAGATTAAGGAAGTCTTTCGGGAGATTGGAGATTCCAATTTTTCTCCCTTAAATAATTTCTCTCTCTAAAAAATCTACACCACAATAAAGTAGTTTTCCAAATCTTCATATCCTCTTTTTTTTTCCCAAATCTTCTTATGCATAGTCAAATTTTTGGTATATTTCCTTTTCTCTCTCTTTTTTTATATAACGATTAAGTCTCTTTCCTTTTTTATAATCATTGTGTTCACCTCAACTAATATTTATATAAAGAGGAAGTGAACCCATCCCCATGCCCTAAACTAAGAAAAGGTAGAAAATTGCTTACACCATTAGAAAGATTAATATCTTTTGCTTCTCAATTCTCTTCGCTTATATATATATATTTTTTTGGATTGCTTGTGACACCATAATCTTTTTTTTCTTCTATATCATGTCTCTTCTACGTTTTGTGTCAATGGATTCTTTTAAGTCACCTGCAAGTCTACTTCTAGTACTCCTCCGGATATGGTTGACCATCTTTTTCCATGATGTTGACTGCTGGATCACTTCATCTTTCCCTAAGAATAAGTGTTTTTTAAGAGAGCAATACGAGGAATCCAAACTATTTGCTGTGAGAAGGGAACACGTCGTCATCTGCGTGTTCATCCTTTGTGAACTAGCAGATTTGATGCGCTTGGACATTACTTCTGTCTTACGTAATCACACCAAAAATTCTCTTACCAAGACGTTTGTTATAAGAATTTGTTTAGACCTTAATGTCTTATTTGGAGCCTTATGTATCATTCAACCACATATGGTTACATTTAGAGCCCCCGCCCATGTCGAGGAAATGGAGGGGACGAACGATGGGCTGCTTGTTAGCGA